TAAGAACCAATCACTCACCATGTTGTAAAGATCATCTTCAATCTCAATAAATGTGTCCATACTTCAAACTCAAAGTCTCTTGATTGTATCTAATATTTCAATAAGTTGTAAAGTCATGTTCGTATCTACCATTCACTCAAAGTATTTAATGTGGTCACTTCCTAAGTAGTCTAATGAAAAAGATTTATAATATTGACTTTTGTTTTGAGCCACAAAAATACTACTTGAATATATACAATAATATAATAAATGAAGAGCAACTTGCATATATAATTACCACCAATTTTTACAATTTACTAGTCACTACCTCTATGCCACTATAAGACCAACAAACATCACTTATTTGATGCAAACAAAGGAATTTAACCAGCCATCAATCCAATCTCATCCTTTTAGTATACATATAAACTTTGAATATCTACAATACAAAATGGAAAAACATTGGATACCTATAGCAATAATACCCACAATTAAAAAAAAGATATCAAAGAAAAAATTCAAAAATCCAAATTAGATCTTCATTCTAATAACATGTAAAAAAAATTCACAAATAGATCAAAGCAACAACTATCTACTTGGGGTTTGTAGTGACAAGTCAAAAAATAGGCAATAATAAATAAGATCACAAAAAGTTCTAAAATTTTAAATTGAGAACTTCAAAAGTACCAAGTATATTATTTTCAACTCTAAAAACTTCTCATTATGCTTTAATAAGTACTTGGAGACATAGCACATTCAAATTGGATAAAATGTGGAGAAGAAAAGGACTAAAAACCACCTTTGGAAGTAAGACAATATTTAATAAATCTCAATTTAATACTCTATTTGATCTGCAATGGTCAAATTAATAATACCATTGGCTTTCTTAAAAAATTCTACATAGAATCAACTCAAATCATATTAATTTTAGACTCTATATGTCTATAAAGTGAACTTTAAAATATTAATAATTAGAAGCTATAGATAGAAATATATATATATATATATATATATATATATTTTTTAAATGTAAAAGATAATAGAGGGATGAAACACATGACACACATCATCCATCCATTATTGCTCCAATTGGCCATTTGCCATTGCACATTGTAGTCTGTTGCTTTCGGCTAAAATCCAACACATCAACTTTCAACACTCTTCTGCCTCAAAAAACCAACAATATAGAAATAAAGTCAAGAACAAAGAATAAGCTTGGAGCAGTACCATCCCAATAGAAAATGGCTCGGATCTTAAAGTGTATAGGGAGCAGAAATGAAAGCAATGACAGATAATGTATGAGCAGGTACCAAATCTGCATTTACCAACAATTGGGATTTTGAACCCACTTCATTGATGCTTTTAACAAGCAGTTATAATAAGGGCACAATTCCAACAATATAAAATCATTGAAAAACATTAAGAGGACCCACACATTACTCCATTAACTATGGAAACTAAATTCGCTAAAACCCAAGTAATTGCTACACCTCCAAAGAAAAAAAAGAAAAAAGAAAAACAAAATCTATGTCAAATAAAAAAATTGGCAAACAAATACCACAAGTGAAGTTATCTTGCACACCAAAATAAAAAAACAGACAATAACAAACAAACAAAAAAAAAAGTCCAATAGTGAACATTTCTAAAAAAACAAACAAGGCCAACAAATATAAGATATTGAATTAAAACATACTTTCTAAAGTAAAGTAGACCACTTAAACTAATGTAGTTTACTAACCACATCCACCAGGAAGGAAGGGAGGAGGGAGCATGGTCAACAGCGTCCGGGGAGGGGGAGGGAGCGGGGTGACTCGTCGCAGTGGAAATCATTCAGTGTCGTCTTCTTCTTCGCCATCACGGACCTCCTCCTCCTCTTGCCCCACATCGCCTCTATTGCTGCTGCTGCTCCTGCTGGATCGCTTCCCTTTGGATCCCACCCTGCGCCATCGCGCGCCTCGTACCGCAGGTATGCTTCTCCCTCCCTCCTCGATCTGCGCCGTTTCGCTCTCTGGTTTGGTTTGGTGCCTTTTTCTTGCTGCTTTGATAGCTCCTGTGATGGGAGCGCCCGGTTCGGGAGGTGTTTCGGAGGGTTTGGTGGAATTGGACACGCGCGGTAGGATGGGCCGGAGCATTGGCGGAGGATTTGTGTTGTTGTGGATCGGCATACGTGGGTGGGTTGGGTTTTGGCGCGGTTCGCTGGTGCTTGAGTCGCGCGTTGTGCACATGTAGGGTTGGAGGGAGGGATGGCAAGACCGGCGACATTACTGTGAGTGGTCGAGGATTTGGCTGTGGACTGTGTGGGCGTGTGGATTGGGCGGTTGTGTTGCGCGCAAGAATCGTCGGCACTGTCCTGGGCTGGCTGAGCTCGGTTTATACTTGATTGCATGTGAGGTAGAGCGTGGGCGGATCCGGGGACGTGGATAGGATCGCATAGGGACGTAGGTCCGTGGAAGCTGGTGGGAAAATTGCGAGACACAGAGTGATCCGAGGCCCGAGGAGAAGGAGAGTGCGGTGCAGGTTGTTGGCATGGTGTGCCCTGTTTGGCGATCAGTAGGATGCGCAGCATTTTGTTGTGGGCGTGTTAGGAAGGCGACTCCGTCCGCCATCAGATCTGGAGTGCGCAAGAGGCATGTGCGCGAGCGCGAGCGCGGGGTGGTCCACAGCGATGAGGACGTAGGGGTGGTTGAAAGGATTGCGAAGGTGATGGGAAGGGTGCACAGTTGGACGGTGTGAGGCGTGTGGGGAGGAGTGGGTAGGCGAGGGATGCACAGGGAATTATGGGCTCACACAGCGTTCGAGAGGCGGAATGCGTTTGTATTGTTGTGGCTGTTGGTAATGGAATGCGCCGCGTGAAGTGGTTGGTTGTCGTGTATGTGCGTGTGATGTGCTGCGTGGTGACGGGGGTATGGTGTGGTGCATGTAGGATCTTGTGAGGCCGAGATACCGCAAGCATGGCTTACGATGGGTACTCTGGCGGAGCTGACGACCTGAGTACATACAGCAGCTTCGACGATTCAGCCCGGTTCGACAGCTCTAGGTTGGACTCTGCTCGATTTGACAGCTCGTTCCGAGCTCCAGACGATTACAAGCCGGATCACTTCGGGATGGACGACAACAGGGAAGGGTTCGACGACTTCAAGGGCGCGTCCCACGGTTACGATCACCCGGCCCCAATATACGAGAACGAGGAGTCGGCCCCTGGCATGCCGGGGATGTACGGGTTCGGGATGCCGGGTTCGGAGTCGCCGTCAGGATTTCCGAAGGGGGAGTATTCGGCTCCTGGGTTTACAGACGCGGAGTACACGTCGAATCCGGCGGGGGGGAGCTACAACAAAGAGCTGGACGAGGATTTGTTCGGCGGAGACAACGGCGGCGGTCCAATGCTGCCCCCGCCTGAGGAGATGCAGGAGGAAGGCGCCATTCTTCGGCAGTGGAAGAGGTGAGCAAGGGTGTGGTGTGTAGCGGGATGCAGACGAGGGTGGCAGTGTGTGATGGATGTGCTTGGCGAGTAGAGGCTTGGATGAGGCTGGGGCATGGTTTCACATGGTGGGGGATGGTTTGGTGAGTGGCAGGGAGAACATGCAGCGGCTGCAAGAGAAGGAGCGCGTCGAGAAGGAGAAGCTGCAGCAGATCATGGACGATGCTGATGAGTACAAGGAGAAGCACAAGGCAAAGCGGGAATCGAACCGGGAGGCGAAGATGAAGGAGAATCGTGAGAAGGAGATGGTAGGTTGCATTGTGTCGGGGATTGTTGTAGGTACAAGGAGGGTGGGATGGTTGGTGGGACGAATAAGTTTGGGGGGGGGGGGGGGGTTGTTTCGGGTGGCACGGTGAAGGAGTTGGGCGTTGTGTGGGGGCATGGGTCCCGGTAGCGAAGGGGCGGTCTTGGTGGCAAGCGGCGAATCGGTGCGAACGTGAGCTAAGACGTGGTTGTGGTGGGTTGGGCAGGTGTACCACGCCGACCAGGAGCACTTCCACAAGACGGCGGACAAGCAGTACTGGAAGGCTGTGACGGAGCTGGTTCCGAAGGAGCTGCCGGCATCTCTGGAGCCGAAAAGCCGACAAATGAAGGAGAAGAAGGAGAAGAAGTCGACGTTCGTGGCTCTTCCAGGACCGAAACCGGGGAGGGCGACGGACCTGGGACGGTTCAGGCAGGTGCTGTTGAAGCTGAAGCACAACCCTCCTGCACACATGATTCCTCCTCCTCCACCGCCAGCGAAGGCGGAGGTGAAGGAGGGCGAGAAGGGTGCGAAGGATGGGGCTGCGAAGGAGGGCGAGAAGGAGAAGGAGAATGGTGCCGCCGTTGCAGCACCAGCAGCAGATGCGGCGAAGGCCCCCGAAGCCCCTGCGGCGCAACCGGAGCCGGAGTTGATAGCCGCAGCGTGAGGAGGTGGAGTGGGTCCCGATTGAGTAGATCAGCGTAGGCGTATGCAGTTAGTTTTGTAGAAGTCGGAGGTTTGAGTTGTGGAGCGGGTGGGGATTGAAGGCGGGGGCATTGGTTGTAGGCGGTTCCTGTCGAGTAGGTTTTGATAATCACGTGCACATGACGCACCGTTTGGGACGGAAGTTGGATGTACAAGGGTTGTGGAGGTTGGGGGTGGTGGTCGGACGACGTTGGCAGCCTGGTGATTTTGTCAATAACGATTGTTGATTTTAGCGTAAAGCATGGGCGTGGTTGTTTGTGGGAGCACAGTACGTGTAATGGATGTGTATGAGACGGGTGGGGTTGTGAGTCGTGGATGTTTGCGGTTGAGAGGGATTTGAGCGGACAGATGCGTGGGTGACAGGATATGGAGCAGGCGGTGGATTGGTTTTGTGCAAGGGAAGAGGGGTGTGGGCAGGTTGTCAAGCGACGGATGGGCGGGAAATGGTTGCATTTGGGAAGCGCGCGAATGTTGTGCGTTGGGTGAGGAACGGTCATCGTTGATGTGTGATGTGGAGGTGGAAGTGGTGTTGTTGTGATTGTGAAGGCTTTGGTTTGTGGTGTGGGGGGTCGTGTTTGTGTTGTGGTTGTCACTCAATTTGGGATTGGACAAACTTGGAGGTGGAAGCTTCGGATTGCAATGTGGTTTGAGTACAGAAGGTAGGAAGTTCAAACTATGTGCTGGTCAAAGACGTACATCTGGTTCGCGATGACTTATGAGGTCCAGAAGCTCAACAATATTCTGCGAGGCCTTCGTAATTGAAGCGCCAGCTGTTCTGCTTCTTCTTCCTGGACTTTGAATCCTGAGCTGGTGTACAACGCCATGGCGCCGTGATTGTCCGCCTCTACATGCACGAACAGCACCTGAAGTTCCATCTGTTTGGCCACCTGCAGAAGGGAAAAGAATGAGGTTGTGCTTGTGTGTGGATATTGTTGTGAGGGAATGAGCACTCTGGCCGAAAATTCAACGTTGTGCATGCAAGATGATGGGCGTGGGGCAGGCACGAATCGGTGGATTAGGAGGTACACGCAAACGGATGTGACGTAACGGGATTCCCCTTCACGCCCAGTCTGTCCCGCAGGTTGAGCATGGGTGCCATGGGACCGCGAAGTCATGTTGGGAGCACATGAAGAGCTTGTGTGGTGGAAGTGGAAAGGTGGTAACAGCCTCGTACCTTGAGAGCGGCCAGCAGCAGAGCCTTTCCGACCCCCATTCTTCTGGAGTTTTTGACGACGCCAACGTTGAAGATGTAAGCCTGGTTCAGGGTGTTGTCCGGTTGGAGGAGAGAAAAGGGTGTCGAGGTATTGTGGGCCTTGTGAACCTGAAGCGGAAGAAACAAAGTTAGGTTCAGTCCTCATGCGTTCCATCTGCTTCACGAGGAATATGACAGTCCAGTCGAGTCCAGTCGAGTATGTCGGATCACAATCTGCCTGGTATTCCGCGGAAGTTCAGCTTGTCAGCCTTTGGTGACGGTGGTTTTCTGGTAGACAGTGTTTGCTTCCGATTGCGTGCTACGCTCTAAAACGATTCGTACCTGGGCGCTGGTGAAGCTTTGAAGTCGTGTGAGACATGGCTTGAACAACCCATTGCCAACGTAGTAAAGAGTGGAAATGAGAAGTGATGAGTAGCGGCGACCAGTGGCATCGAAGTTCAGGAAAACTCGATCCAGATTACGACTGCCTAAATGTAGATACAAGGGGTATCCTGGATTTTGATGCAAGGTTAAGGTTACAAAGAATGAGATCGCTGGCTCGAACGCTCACCTGCTTCTTCGATTGCTGAGCTGAATTGGCCAGAGTATAGAGCTGGAAGTTGTTTATATGTTTTGATGTGATTTAGTTTCTTTTAGTTTGAGACGATGTTTTATTCCTCTTCGATGTTTTTGGTTTTTTTGAGTGCTGGTGATATAGCTTATACTGTTTTGAATGGTGGGCCTTGAGTGATTTTTGTAATTCCTGGTTGTTTCGAGTGGCGGTTATTGCGCATGATTTGTGTCCGTTTAATTTTTTCGGAGGTTGGTTATTTGGTTCTGGGAATTACTATGGGGGGTTGGTTGTGTATCAGGTGATTGGATCTTGTTATCATGTTTTTGTTGGAGCGTAGATCTTGCAAGGAGGGGTGTTTTTATTTTCTTTGTTGTTTCGTACTTTTCCGGTGTAAACTGTGATTAGGTTGTCCGGAATCGAAGCATGTGTGTTTATCTATTTTGGAGGTTTGCATTGGAAAAGGATCCAGATTTCTGTGATATTATTTTCGTATGTATGGTGTGAAGTCTGACTGCAGTTGCTCGTTTAGCGGATAGATGTCGTAGCACGTGAAGCATCTGTTGGCGGGACCGAGAGTCTGGATGTGTGCTATTCGTCGGTTTTGAACTGTACGATTCTGAATTAATTGTAGGTTGGTAATTCTCATAAGATGATTTTGGTGGTGATGGTTGCCTGTAATATGGTACTCAAAGATTTTACATATGTGTGTACCCGGCCATAAGCGATCAAAGATCTGTTCGAAGTTGTGGAACGTGTGTGAACCACATAATCATTATTCCGTGAGCAACAAGTTCCGAAAATTTGAACTTGCATATTGCTGGTGAACGCTTGGTTGTTCATATGTTACAATTTCCAGTAGAAAATAAGAAGCGTACGATTCAATAACACAGCTGTACAAGTAAAATAGAGGACTTTCAATAATATCATGTTCTACGGTGAAATTTTATGTACAAATAGACTGAAAAGAAGCACAGTAAAGCAAATACAATGGCTAGATAGAGAGGGCTGATGCCGCGCTGATTCAGAGTCCGATTGAGCCTTTTCATAGTGATCTTCAGTATTGCTTGACCCTTGGCCACCGTCTCTTCCTGCGTAGGAAAAAAAACGAATTTATTATTACTGCCAAGTATGGAATTCATATCAACCCGCACTTAGATAATACGATCTGTACGATACATATGGTTCTTAGGAGCAGACGCTGGTAGGCACGAAAACAGATGAAGAATGACAATATCTCCAGGTTAAGTTGTCAACTCGCAGTTGCTTACCAGTTGATTGAGAAGTTCATTTTGATACTTGGTCTCTGTGTCAATATGCTGCGCTACCTGACCCAAATTCCACCACCAAATTCACATGGACGTATCTATCAGGTTATGAAAATTTAAAAGAATTGAATTCCCATAAGGTTTTGCACTTAGATAAACTAATGCCTTTTGTGAAGAGTATAGATTCATAAATAACGTCTTTCAGTTCTTATCCGTGTCCTAACCTACACTTGCAGCTGATCAGCTCCAAGAACTCCAAGGCACCTAAATTTCACGCTCCCAAAAGAATCGAAACGAAGTCAAACGAGTATGCAATTCATGCTACCATTCGTTGCATTGCGCAAGTAAAACAACAAACAGAAAACACATAACCGTACCTGTTTAAGTTGGGCTACTTTGTTACGGAGGCCGTAAATTTCCTCATCCAATTGGTCACGAGGGTCAACTCTCAGCTGCACCTGATCAGAGTTATAGCTGTAGTTAGGATTCCTGCGTCGCCCCAAGCTGTCATCCGTCCAGGCCATGGATGGCAACCAAAGCACTCAAAGAAGCTATATATTCTCAGATGGTGTCACGTGAGCAAGAAGATTTCAGCGCCGAGAGTGGGAACGCTCGCAAAAAGGCCTGGAAGGAAGAACAATGTGAAACCCACTAATCAGTTGGCGATATGCGAAACCCTAAGAAACCGAGACACACATAAAAAGAGGAAAAAAAAAAGGATCCAACCATCGCACAAACTTGATCGAAATAAGAGAGATCGAAACGCCGCTGGTCAAGCTGAGAGAAACGTACTTGCGGAGCCGAACGACAGCGGCGAACGGTCGAAATTGAAGTGGCAGCGATCGAACAACAAACAGCTCAAGGGAGAAACGAATTCGGCATTCCGGAGTAATGACTCTGCCTACTGCTTCCTCGCCTTCCACGGTATTGGCCCAGTAGATGAATGAAAACCATCCTCAATACCCACTTCGTTCAAAAGCCAACAACGTTCATCCCTCGAACGAGCCATAATTTCGATCAAAAGTGCTATTGGCTTGTGATCAAGGGAAATGAGTCACAAGGCACTGAGGATTGGCTCCGCTTGGAGCGTTTGGATGGATGTTGGCGTGGAAATGGCAAAGACGTTCGTTGATATTGGATGAATGAAATATCATCCCTGGTCAGTGGAACTCACTGTGCTGCTTCCCATTGTTTCGTGGGTTCAAGAGGGTTCAAGAGGGTTCACTGAGGCTTGGAGAGTCAATTACTTGGTGATTCCGCACCTCACTCGAGTTCAGTTGCAGTTTAGTTGAGCCTCTCGATGAGCCTTTCGAAACTTTTATGATAGCAGGAATTCAGATCACTGCGATGGATGAGAAACGTCTTGTTATTCACAACTCCATAGTAAAATAGAGTCTTCATTACTTTTAAGTTAGCCATGCATTTCTCATTTCAAATGACTCAGTCCTACATTTTCTTCTTTCATTTATGTGTCGAGGAGAATCTGCACATGGAAACTCCATTGCAAGCAGTGAGACAATGCATGGATCATGCTGAACTTAGCCTAACACTTGGATCGAATGGCGCAGCGCAACAACGACAGCATGGGAAAACAACCAACACTGCAGCAGAAGAATATGCCGATGGTAGTTGGTCTGCGAAAGATTTGCAGGTTCCACAAGCGGTGCTCGATCTTGAATCAGGACTACTGACAGAGAAGACGTTTAGAAGCGATGCAAGTTCGAAGGATGCATTTAAAGAACGAAAAAGGACCGGATTAAACTTGAATCAAGCAGAAAGAGTGAATGCAATCAGATGATTAGGATGTTTTGAAGTTTTTGACCCGACACAGGCGTCACGCAGCCATGAAAGGTCATGTACAAAGAAAGCGTCATCTTACTATATTGAAGATGCTCAAACCACGGGTACCAATGCAATACTCTACACAGAAAACCAGAGCTACTTCTGTGAGATTATTAGATATCCCAAATTGAATTGCAGCGATGAAAATATTGATTGTTCGAAGTTGGGTCAGATGATTGAAGCTTTCCATCAATTTGGTGCGAATCAACGGTTATTACTTCTTTTGTTTAAAATGTTAAATAGTCAGAAGTGCTTCGAAACTAAATATGGTTGCATGAGCATCTAGAAATTTACTCTGTAATTTCTTCATTCAACTGTTCAGTGCTCGCCACTAAACGCACACAAAATTTGATTTCTTCCTCAAGCATTCATCAAAAATTCACAACTACATGTCAAACCACCAAAAACATGCGTTAAACAATGGTGAGCTCATGATTGAGTTGTGTTTCAACGAATACAGACTTCAGAAAGTATAACCGGAGCTAGTCCTAACCGACGGTAATCATCTCAAGAAGACACCTGACTGTGCCCGACGGAAGGTACAAAATCCAGCCCATTCAAAAAGGGCAACAGTTCTTACCACTTTTCCCTAACAAAAGTAAGAAAAATACCATACGGTTGAGACTGTACGCAACAAAGTCGATATTCTAACTCAAAACGGATCATCCAGTCCTTTTCAAAAAATACAGCATGCACAACTTTGGTTGATGATTTCCTGCATAACACATCAAAACTGTTTGTCAAGACCACAGCAATTTTTGCTACGAACTAGTCCACAAAAACAAGGATCAATGCGGTTTTGTGTTACTTCTTTACATTTGGACATGTATACTCTTTGCAATACCAAAATTGTCTTAATGCTCAAAAGGTTTGGGTATTATTATTGAGGTTATACTTACTCTTGATCAGAAGTTGTTAATTTCAACCAGAATAATATGTGTAATACATTCCATGATATGGTTGTTTGATCCAGAAGTAAGACCTAGGTCAACCTACGTGCAAGAACACTCACCTATAGAGGTTCAGGGTCTTCTACATTAAGTTAAGTGCTTGATCTGACAATGAGCTCAGAAGTTGACTGAATTCAGTATAGATCCTCGATTCCCATTGTGGTTCCCACTCTGGTTCCCACTGAGTGCCACAAATGATTTAACTCTGGATCACCTACTTTGTTGCAGCCGCTCAGCTTCCACTGACAGGTCTTGAAGAGCAGCTTTCACTTGATTGCCCATAATTCTTGACACGTAACCACCTGGCACCATCCATGTACAGATCAGAGCAGAAGTATCCGAGAAACGTTCACATTGTCACCTGAAAAAGTAATAGTAGAAACGGATGCATAATGCATGATGTGTGTAACCCACATACACTCAAGTGAAAAAAGAGAGAAGAGTATGTTGAAAGTGTCTGTGACACACATGCAATTGAGCACACTAGGCTGTAATGACTGCAAACATTGCCAACTACTCCTGTCATTGGAAGGCTGTAAATAATTTTGCAAACAGATTCACTACTACTTGTGTGTAAAAATTACAACCCATAACCAGATGCCATGGCATTTGTGATTAGCCTCATAGGTTATTGTGGAAAGAAGCCCATTCTTGTAGCTATGAATGGAATACGTAAGAGATACCTAGAGGTCCTGGAGGCAGTATGGAGGGCAAAACTTCCTGGGTGACCAAGACTTTAGAACCCACTTGCTTACCCTCCTGAATCCAAGGCTCTATGCCCCAGTAACCATTGAAAAGCTTCAAAAAACCAGGTTCGTTTCTAACATAAAAACCAAGAACAAATGTCAATGTGTAAAATAATGAATAATTAACGTGAACCTACTAGAATCCTTCTACATAGAATGAGACAAAAATCTTAATTTATATATATCCAAAAAATGATGTATCGTCCAAACTTCACCTTGTACAGAGTGCCCATTTTTCAAAACATCATTCCAACTCTGACAACCATGAGCATTCAGTGCAATTGAGAACATGCATTTTGCTTCAATCAGGTTGTTCCTCTTACAATTTAAAGGCAACTTTATGTTTGCTCCGATCTTCCTCGACCCTCATCTTGATGGTAAATTTCCCAGACCAAAACATGAGGTTCCAATGCGCATGCTGTGTTACCAATTTCATATCACCTTTGTATTCCACTTCAACTTTGGACACAGTTTTAAAGATTTGTGAATTGTTCTCATAATCGACTAATATACCGTACGTTATATCAGGATCCACTGCCATACTCATGACGCCTTTGACCTCAAAGACTCCATTCTGCCAGTAGCAACAACAAACTAAATCAGCAATAGAATGGTGGCTACCAGATCGTTCAATTAAGCCCTGAACGACATTAGACGACGGTAATAGCAAAATCATTCCTACGAGCTAACCTTGCAGGTATACACACTCTCTAAACGTAATATTGCCTTCTTATGTATGCAAGTCATGTTACCTTGCAGTCACTATTTAGAGCATTACTCCCACCAAGATTGATATCAGCTATGTTCAACAAACATATGAAAAGGTCCAGAAATGGTATTACAAGGAATCATAATACAGTAACTAGGGGAAATTGGCAGATGGTAAGGCTTGGCATGCATGGCTGATCAACTCAAAAGAAAGAAGCTATATGAATCGACCAACACTGTTTATTGAAACGGGAATGTTAAGTGAAAAAAATAATATCACACCTTTCTTTGAACGGAGACTTCCGCAGGTCCAGATTGATTTGAGTTTGGTGCCCTAAAAATGATACAATAAGCGCAGGTAAGAATAAAGGTGCAACACAAGGATATTGTTCCAATAATGAAAAAGAGAGCGGAAGGAAAGTCAAGGTTTGTGAAACACACACAACGTCAGAGTATGGAGATTTACAAGGAAGCAAAGGACAAAAAGCAAGCACAACCCTGACATGTCCAATTGTAAATTTGGAACATCAGAGAGAACACAACAACCAATGAAAGCAAGAAATATCCATATAATCGAACAAGTACAAATACTCTCGATCCAATGAAACCAAACTGTCCGCGGCTTGCTTCATGATGAAAATGAAAATGAAAATAAAAATAAAATAAAACATAAAAATAAAATAAAATCAATAAACACAAGGAAAACAAAAAATCAAGAAATAAAAAATCACGTAGTGGTGTAGACAAAGGACTGACCTAGCTGAGGGATACGAACTCCGTCGAAGGTTTACAGAACCACTCCCCCCAGCTAAATTCCCAAATTCGTCACCGTCACGCAAAGCCCTCAATTCCATCTCTCGTTTTCGCCGCAGCAGCGTCGGAGAGCGTCGATTGCTGGCAAACCCATCCGCCGTGTTCTTCGCCATGGAGGGCTTCTCAACCAGCCCCGCTCCTTAAACGTATCACAATTTCCAATTCGCACACTCACACCTGCCCGCAATCCCAATTACTCCCTTCAACACGCAATCCGCACTCTACTCTACTCCTCCTCCTCCAGTCCGTCAACTCTCTACCAATCCCACCGTTTCCAGCTCCGAATTCACCAACATCGCTCCCAACACACTACCTCCAGCCAATGCAAAACCAAAACCATTCGCCAGGTCAAGCGGAATCCGAGCTCAACAGCTTCACCGATCCAAGAAACGTGGCGAGGAGGTCCATCGACGCAAATGGCCACGGCTCAAAACCTCTCGGCCAAAGCCTGCGATCCCGGGATCGGACCCTCGCGTTAACACCGGCGAATCCAGTGGACTTCAGGTTATCCATGTGGCATGCCACCTAGATATATGTGTATGACGTGTCCAATGCCAACAGAGCAGAAGTAGTCCATGACGTGGACATGATGACGGTGGAAAGGGGCAAAGAATGACAGGCTCTGGGATCATCAAGGCTTCGAGGGCTTCGCGCATTCAAGCGAAGTGTGTCTCTTTGGACTTCGTAAGTGGGTGCCCTAGTCATTCATTCATTCATTCATTCATTGTTTGGTGGCCTCATTTTATCAAGATAGATGGTGGCCATGTGTGCTATGTATAAGCTGTTGGATTCTGCTTGGCTGCCTACCTGCCTACCTGCCTGGAGGAGTCGTGTGTTCCAGGCCATTCCTTTGTTGCATCCAGCCGAGTTTTTGCATATTTGGATCGTAACATTTTTTGACCTTACTTTCATCCAATTCTGGATCTTCTTTCTTAAGAGTCTGTGCACAGTGTGTTATCTGATCCGACAAGCAACCTTCCATGTTTCATGCCCTTGGGGGATATAATCCACGGAGTTGTCATTCATTGAGCTCCTCGGGGACTAATTATAATGGTTGTGAACTTAATCTGATTGCACTGTGGCTACCTCATGAAGTAGCTTTATAATGTCTTAATCCTAATTTAATTATAACTCAGATGGTTTTCTTCAGCAACTACACTGTGAATTTGGTATCCCGAGGCTGTGCACGAATCCAGAGTCGGAACAATCGCTGTCCTCTCTCGAAAATGAAAAGTGTAATCTGGAGCATCTCTGAGTTGCCAACAGAAGGAGCTGAGTAGAGAAGCAGACATCAGTTTCCTTCTGCAGTTCGTATCCGATCGATTACCCTGAATCTGTCCTCACCACGCTAGAACGTACAGCGATGTGTACTCACATTAGCAAAGGAATGTGAACCATTCCCGTGTACAGATATTCTGCAAGGGTTTCATGGAGTCGGAATTGTGCAGATGTGAGTTAGGTTGACAATGCGTAGACGTGATTGCGTGGCAGTCGGCTGCAGAGAAGGCACATGAGGCATCGTAATGTCAGTGAAGCTCTCTTTCGAGTCTTTTGCATAGATCATCTGACTTCGAAATCGCAACTCAAATTAGAGGGAGTCGCATGCGTGAGGGAGGAGAAGGAGTAAAAGAAGACAGTTCAAGTTTCATCCATATTCGTTTAGAGCTATTCGTGAGTGAACGTGGGGATCAATTTGCGGGGGCCATAATATTCCTTGTACAAAATCTCCACTAATCTAAGCCCAGTTCAAGCCTTTCTCCTGAAAATGAGCGACCTAAATGAGACCAGTTCAATTACGTCCACCAAAATTCTTCCAAAATAAGTCAATTGCATTGGCGAATCAAGCCTCAATGGGACTTATAAAACCGGCACACCGACAGTCAGGCTCGTTCGCCGAGGAAACTTGTCATTCCTTTGCGCTCCGAGCTCCGCCATTTCATATCCGTTGATCTCGTCAACGCGAACCGAACTCTATTTTTTCGTGGCATCACACATTTGGCGGGTAACTTCACTCCCTCCTTCATCCAATCCGCGACGCCGCTGTAGTACCAAGCTAAAGGATCTTCCCGCTGTAACAGCCTTCCAGATTGTCAATCCGAATACCTCCAAAGAATTATCCATGGACTCTTCTCCGATTTACGCCGACCCCAGCAAAAACCAAAATCCCTCTTCTTCTTTGCTTTCCAGCAATTGAATGCGTCAGAACATTTTGTCGCAATGAAATGGAAATATTGTGAGATTGTATTCTGGATCGATGGTCCATCTACTATCTTCCTGAGTGTGCTTGGGCTTCGGGGAGTCGGAACTCTGTGAAATCTTGACCTCGGTGTCAAATGAAAACACCGAAGTGTTACGATGAAGGCGGTTATTCTTTAATTCTTACAATTTGGCCGCTTTCATCAATCATTTCATGCACGATACATTCAATCCCAAATGTTCTATGCAGAATACTATGAATTCCTTCGGCTGCTTTGTTTTATTTTTGTTGCTTTTGTATTTAATTTCACCTTTCTCTGCATATTGGGTTTTCACTTTCTCCGTTGTGTTTCTTTTGCGTTTATTTATTTGTTTATTTACTTATTTTTCCGCCTTATTGAGCACAGTTCCATACTTTCACCAGCAAATTCATTTTTGAAGCGCAAGTCTAATTATTGTGCTCTTCTGTCGCTGTTGAATGTAAAAGGAAATCAAATATCTGCTCTTAAAGCTATAAATCTTCTCGTCATTTTCACTCGCATTCCTTGCATTGTTTGAATTCCTAGAAAATTAATATTCGGTATCAACTATCTGGCTACAGCTTTCTCTTTTAATTGGTTTAGGATTTAGGAATACGGGCTAGAAACCACTGGGTTGTAAAAAGTGGTAGTTGTGGGTGCCAACTGTTCTCATTTTGTTACGCTGCGATTCAATATACACACGCACACGCACACACACACACACATATATATGTTTAAAAATTTGTAGACGACATGTTTGTTATCCTAAAATGGAAAGTGGAATTTAATTACTTATTTGTTTAACTTTTGGACGGTTGATCGGCATCGAATAACCAGAAGTACCCAAAAGAGCATTCAAGTGAAAGTTCCATTTCAGATGAAAGAAGAAAGAATAAGAGCACTTCGTGTATTTTCTTCCTAAAAAATATAATATTCCATGTAAAGGAGAAGGGGCAAAGGAGAAAGACGAATTATTTGTTTAAAAATATTGAATTAAAAAAAAAAAAAGTGGTTGGATCAATGTAGGCATGTTCCACTTCACTTAGAATATTACTGGTTATCCTCTTTTGTTATCCATAGCTATATTCTTCAAGGGTGTTAAACTAGACTAAATGTTGTCTACATGGGATCAACCCACACGAACCCTCACCAATTTTGTTTTTACCCAAACAGGTTAACTCTGTGGCCTTCGGTGTGGTCCACTATAAATATTCTCCCAACATGGAGAGCCTATGACCGAGCCCAGTCATGTTCCAATGACGGTCCCCAAGAGGAAGGGAGACTTCTTGTGGGGGAACGGCGCACATGACCGAGGCCCAAAACTCCAAAAAGGCCTAGAGCCGTCGGATCACAGAAGAGATTGAGAGATCTTAGCCGTGGGCTTTGGAAAGTGGGGAAGCCACCCCGATGTGAGAGCCAAGACCCCATCGCTGGGGCCCCGACGACTCTCAAGACTCGCAATTGTCTAGAAAACCTAAAACCGAGACCTGAGTACCAATCCTGATCTGTGTGTGTATGAGAGTGCGTGCCACAACGCAGGAGGAAGAATTTGCAATCCACTTGCAATTCGTCACTGTACCATAATCACAGGAACTCGCATTCCGCATCGCGCTTGGTGCCCAGGCGGCGCTGAATTGCCGAAATCCGCCCACAATTGCCAAAGTTCGTGGGTTGAATTGGTGGTGAGAGTAGTGGTGGCGGTGGTGGTGGTGTTCGAGCAAGGAGGAGGTGCTTGGCGCGTCGCCGTCGCGTGCGTCCGACCGTCCGATCTTGAAGCCTGCTTCGAGTGACGACGACGACGACGCAGGCTACAGTGGTATCCAAGAGCGGGTGGCGGGTTCCTTCGTAGTGAAGGAGGTCGGAGTAGTTGGCAGAAATCTAGGTCTGGTTCGTGTGGGGTGGAGTGTCAGAAACGGTGTAGTGCAGAGATGCAGTAAGCGTTGGGGTTGCTTCCAAGGGTGGTTTGGAGAATGCGTTGTGATGCAATGGGGAGAAGAGCGCGGGGAGATGCGTTGATGTGAAGTCGAAGGAGGGGGCCTCATAATGCGGTTACTTAGACCTCATTCAGTTGGTGGGGTGGAGGTGTACTGTCAAGGTTTTCGAGTTGATTGAAGTTGAGCAAGTGTGATTGAGTAGCATCCAGCTTGAAATTTAACGTCTTCAGCTTTTGGGATCACTGGGACCTCTGACTGCGGCAGGGGAAGGTGAGGGACACCGTTTGTGCTTGGACTTTTTTTTTTTTTTTTTTTTTTTTTTTTTTTCATCTGGAGTCGGTGGTTTGCGGGAGTAGCTTTAGCACCCACCCGGTTCTGGAGGTGCTGGCTGAGTTGTGCGAGGCGGTCTTCTATCTTCTTCGACTCTTTTTGTTTAACAGCATCACCGTGTTCACAAGGTGTACAAGCGGTTGAGGCAATCAGTGTTAATCTTTGGCTGTTGCTCAAGAATGGGGGCTGCTCGAGTTGTGCCTTCTTGTTTGCGTGGATCGTTGTAGCTATTTCTAGATCACTATTGGTGTGTTTGCACCAGTACCCATCGTGCAACTGAGCTATTCGGATGTTCCTGTAGTGTAGACTGGAACATGCCTGAAAATCCTACCGTGCAGGCTCGTTGTAGGCGGTAAATCTGCATTGAGATCGGTTGTTTTCGGTGCAGATGAGGCTGAGCATCGTCTTCAGTAGTTTTTCTGCTCTGTGGAAGAATTTACAGATTCATAACAGAACTCTGTCACGAAAAATTTGAGACCTAATTAAAGCTCGTGCTTTTTCAGGTTTTGGCTTATCCTCCATCGAATGTATGCGTGCATCAGAGTAGTTCATAGCTACAAGAAGAGTTTCAGGAGTTTTGGTAAAGCTTCGACTGAAGATACTTTCTTCGCATTCAGGACCTGGCGGATAATCTGCCATGTGGTAACTTGAAGCGGCGAAGTGGTCTTTAGTGGATAGATGTCAGGTCAAATAGCGAATAAGTTCATGCCTGGACTTGGAAACATGGAGGTTCTTTAGTTATCAAACCTCAGATACAACCTTTAGTTTCACCCAGAGCTGAACAATCAGAGGCGTTGATTTGAGTGGAACCTTTCAAGAACATGCCCGAGATTTGGAGAAAAGTCATTCATGATGAAGGCCGTAGTTTGTTTTCTGTGAGTATGGGATTGTAAAAAATATGAGTAGGCGGTGTTTAACCCTGCATTACACGTATGTATCAAGTACCAGGGGGCTTGCATTGTCATTAGGCTTTGCTCTCCGAAAATGAGAACCTTAAGGATAGCAGATGGATGCCGTGGGGGCAATCAAGTTCATGCTGTCTGTCCAGTCGAAAAAGTTGCTCCCTCTCCTGAAGAACATAGTAATGTAAAAGGAGAACGACTAACGTATGAAGACTCCGTACCATCCTCCAGGTTTCTTTCTACCTATTGGTCATCACTCTGTAAAATTTTCTTATTTGAGGTTTAGGTTGTTGTCTTGTTCACTTGTTTTTCATTTTATTTCTGACCCCACAGACTTCGTTTGCGCTCATCCACTAGCAGTGAATATACGATGTATGGACTAGTGATTCTCGCATACGTGTTGTTGCAGCACATCGGTGTCAAAATTGAGTGATCCTCCCTTAGATCCCTACTTCAAGCCCGTAGATTATGTGGATACTTTAGCTGGAATTTACGGGCAGTTGGAGACAGCAGCTGAGGAGGATAAAGCGACACTTTACTTTGAACAAGCGTGTGTGTTCCGTGGCCTTGGTGAGACTAAGCTTCTCCGAAGAAGCTTTCGCTCAGCTCGTCAGCATGCTGTCACTGTCCATGAGAAGCTTGTTTTTGCAGCGTGGTTGAAATATGAAAAACTTGACGAAGAGCTGAACGATGGGAGCCCTAATTTTTGCAGTGGTCGGAAACTGGAGTGTCTGCAGCATGTCCTTATTCCGGGGTTGTCTATGGACCTTCCCTCGGATCCGTGTGCTTGTCGATGTCCACCTGGTGAGACCAGTTCCCAAGTAGGAGAGTACAGACCTTACAACAGCTTTGTAAACGATATAGTTTTTCATTTAGGCGGAGATGCAGTCCCTTGCAATCGGCACAAAATAGCTGGCCTGTCAGTGCCTTTCAATACCATGTTGAATGGTGATTTTTTAGAAGCTCGAATGTGTGATATAGGGTTTTCCAAGAATGGTATATCAGTGACAGGGATGAGAGCCGTAGACCATTTCAGTAAAACTGGCCGGCTTGCGCGACTTTCACCAGAGATGTTGCTCGAGATTCTGTCATTTGCAAACAGGTTTTGTTGCGACACTTTGAAGGATGCTTGTGATCTAAGTCTGGCTATCTTTGTCCGATGTGTGGACGATGTAATGACATATTTTGACTATGCCCTTGAAGAAAGTGCAAGAGCTGTAGTGGGAGCTTGCTTGCAAGTGTTCCTCCGTGAGCTTCCGAGTTCTCTCAAATCATGTCGACAAGTCATAGATATGCTGTCTACTGCTGAAGGGCAGGCCAAGTTTGCGAGGGTTGGCCATTCTTCATTTGCCTTGTACGCCTTCTTGAGCCAAATTAGCTTGGAGGAGAACATGTGCTCTGATCGCACTGTTGCGTTATTAGAAGGACAGAGACGTTGTGCGGCCTCCCAAAGGCAGAAAGCCATCGCCTTCCACCAGCTAGGTTGTGTCCTTTTTGCTAGGAAACAATACAATGAGGCCCTGGCATATTTTGAAGCTGCTATGGAACAGGGTCACGTGTACTCAATGGCTGGAGCAGCGAGGATTAAATGTCTTAAGGGGCAGAGGGCAGCTGCATATGAAGAGTGTGCAGCTGTTGTTTCTAGTTACAAACCTAGCGGGTGGATGTTTCAGGAAAGGTCTTTGTACAGTGACGGACTGGAGAAGTTTGCAGATTTGACCAAAGCAACCGAGCTGGATCCAACGCTATCATATCCATACAAGTACCGCGCCGCCGCCCTTATGGATGAGCAAAAAGTCCATGCTGCTATTACTGAGATCAACAGGATCTTGGGATTCAAGGTTACGTCTGATTGCTTGGAGCTTCGGGCTTATTTTTGCCTTGCACTTCAGGAATACGAAGGTGCAGTGAGGGATGTTAGGGCGTTGTTAACCCTTGATCCATCATACATGATGTATGCTGGCCGTGTGGGTGCCAATCAGTTGCTTAGGTTACTGAGCCAGCATGTGGAGCAGTGGTCCAAAGCTGACTGTTGGATGCAGTTGTATGACCGGTGGTCTTCCGTTGACGATATTGGCTCGTTAGCCGTGGTTCATCAGATGCTGGAATCAGACCCAAGGAAGGGCTTACTTTTTTTCCGTCAATCCCTTCTTCTCCTGCGGTAAGCTCACATTCATTGATTAGATTTGTTTACTTAGTCTTGAGTCCAAATTAGATTACAACATGGTGTAGTTGGCTACTTCTTACAAAACATAATGCTTATTTGATAATGGACCTCAGACGGTGCTCATTGTTACTTCTGATAAACTATGTATGTAAGTGTTTGAGAAGCTGTAACTGAAAGAAGATGTCTTGCTATTTGATCAGGTTGAATTGCCCTAAAGCAGCCATGCGTAGCTTGAGGAAAGCGCGGGACAACGCAGGTAGTGATCACGAACGGCTTGTGTACGAAGGCTGGATTTTATATGATACAGGTCACCGTGAAGAAGCTTTGCAGAAGGCAGAAGAGTCTATTGCTTATCAGAGGTCCTTTGAGGCATTTTTTTTGAAAGCCTATGCTTTAGCAGACACCAGCTTGGATCCTTCCTCATTCGCCAAGGTGGTGGAGTTGCTAGAGGAAGCCCTAAAATGTCCTTCAGATGGACTCCGCAAGGGCCAGGTAATCACTTTTCTCCTATTCCAACAATCCTGTGCAACCTTTCCTTCATTTTTCTGATGAATACCATACTCGAGGTGTGTTCCGTGTGAGAGATGTTCACATCACACTGTCGTCGGGTGGTTTCTTCTTTTGCGCAGGCATTGAACAACCTCGGAAGTGTGTACGTAGACTGTAACGAATTCAAACTCGCCGCCGATTGCTATGTAAATGCCCTTAAAATCCGCCATACTCGAGCCCACCAAGGCTTGGCTCGTGTTCATGCGTTACAAGGGGACAGAAAGGCAGCCCACGAAGAGATGACAAGACTCATTGAAAAAGCCCGCAACAATGCTTCTGCATATGAGAAAAGGTCCGAGTACTGTGAACGTGACATGACAATGGCCGATCTGAGCATGGTCACTCAGCTGGACCCGCTGCGCACATATCCCTACAGATATCGAGCCGCAGGCACGCATTCGTCCTTTATTTGGTTTATTTATTTTGTGTGTGTGTGTCCTTGATTCAAGAATGCATTTTCTGATCCTCGTTTCCTGGGTCACAACAGTTTTAATGGATGGTCACAAGGAGCGGGAAGCAATCATGGAGCTTAGCAAGGCGATTTCATTCAATGCCGACTTGCAACTCCTTCACCTTCGTGCTGCTTTTCACGAATGCAACGGAGACTTCGAAGGAGCAAAACGCGATTGTCGGGCAGCTCTATCTGTGGATCCTACTCACAGTGACACTTTGGAATTGCACAGCCGGGTTACGAACCGTGAAGCGTGAGGATTCTTGCAATCAACTTTATCAGGAGGACCAAACTTCTGGCCCCACGGCTATTTCCTTGAAGCCTGGGACCAAGTTTGGTCCTCCTCGATATGTGTGCTCTACATATATTATTCCAGTAAATAGCATGTAGCCACAATTCATTCGATATGTGTGCATTATGAGCAATGTGGACAGAAATTCATTTGATTGCCTCTGCGGAGGCACCCGGATAGAGTGGAATTCTTACTCTCTCCAGTGTTTAGATACTTGCTCCCTCAGGTAACGTCGTGTGTGTGAGTAATGCTTTGAAGCAAACTGCTAGGAGTGTAACCTACTTCCAGCAGGTTTCAAAATGACCATTATTGTAATATGTACCATCGAAGCATTTATACGATGTTCCTATAAAGCGGACGCGATTGACCAACTGTTCTCCACTGTTCTCCAATCTGCCTACTTGAATTTGTAGTTCTTTGCAAACAGTTTTTGGGGTTAATGAGTTAGAATGTTTGAGTTAGCTGTTATTCTTTGCTGACAACAAGTGCCTGTAAACATCTCTTGCCTCCAATCTCGTCCCATTCAACCTTCTGGCGTCGAATTTCATGGGACGACAGCAGAATGATGAGCAGCGTGTCGTGTTGCGGAAGCCTTGTCACGTAGAAATCCACCTTTGCATTCCGAGTTGAGGTACTTTTAAGGGTGTCGGTTGTGTCCCACGAATTGTCCTTCGTACAAGCCTTAGTTCTTCCTGCAATCTCCGTTGAGGATGCTTATCTGTGATTGTTAGCGTTGTTTCGTGGCTTCAATGACGCGTTTGTGATTTGTATCGCCTGTTCTCACTACTTTAATCGCTTTCTCGAACTCTCGGTTTCTCGTGGGGCAAAGTTGTATGACAAGCGTCTCTAATTTTGGTCTTGTGTAAGCATTTAGTGGTTTCCGTGGGTGGGTTTCGCGTAAATTTTGAATCCGAGTAATTCCGCTGGAAGATTGGGGTAAGATTGAGGTTTCGAAAACTCTTTCTTGGGGAGCTTCTCGTCAAGTTCTTCTGCCGTCTCCTTGATCTGTTTTCAGTACCTTGAATTTATGAGTCTGTTGGTTGGTTGGATGAAAGGAAGAAAGTTCTGTAGATCGTCCTCCTTGTTGTTGGAGAGTAGAAATGGGAGTGACTGTTGACTTGTCGGCATCATCAGAGAAGAGTGTTCTCTTAAGAGAGTTCGCACGGGGTTGTGTGTATTACCTTTTACAATCTGGCCAATTCTTTGCACGCCTTGGGATGTGTTTTGTGTATTGTACATAAGGAGCCTTGTTTCACATTGGCAATGAACTTTGAAAGAGATTACTCAAGGGAGATGTCGGCACGATAGCGTGAAGCAAGACTAAGAAGAAGGGGTGGAATAACAGCATTGTCTGCGCCTCTTGGTCGCTGCAGCGCCTCTCTTTTAAGGTTAGGTACTCCCTCCTCTCCAAAGTTGCTCTGTGGCTGAAGACGGTGTTTCTTCCAAAAGACTCGAAGAATAATTCATTCAACGCTGCGAAAATGGCACACTGCTTCTGCAAATTATAACTACTCGATGATGAAGTGTGCCGAACTACAACCATCATTGATCTTAGGGGTTCAACAATGGAGGTGTACACAGTGTCGTCAGAAGAACGACGGATTAGAGTACCCGCACGGTCGAGGGAAAGGGCCCGAGCGTCCGTTTTACAGCTCCTGTTACTTTCTCTAGGTCTTGTTGTCCTCACAATGTGCCTGCGTTTTTTCTTCAATGCCCATTTGCAGCCCTCGCTGAACCACGTTGCGCAAGAGCGACTATTGTGTACTCGAGGTCAGAGCAAGCAATGGTGTTGTGGACATCGAGGTGCCCGGACGCTCGCTCCAGAAAACACCATGGCAGCTTTTCTCACTGCTCTGAAGGTGCAGTCCACTTACCACGAGAACCAGGATTTTCGTCTTTGCTCAGTATCACTCGTTTGTTAATTTATCCTTAGCAATCTCTTGTTGCTCAAGGTTTAGGTTGGGGCGAATTGCATTGAGATGGATGTGCACCGGACAAGCGATGGCAAAATTGCTGTAGTACATGCGAATCATTACCGCAACAAGATATTGCCAGCCAATGGGCATGTAGGCGATGCTGCTATTCGTGTTGAGGACACATCGTGGGATGTCCTTCGGAAATTAGATGCTGGAGCATGGTTTGATAAAAAATATGAGAACGAGCGCATCCCTCAGCTTGCAACTGTTCTGGAGACGTTTTGGGATGTAGATGTGCGTCTTATTGTTGAACTGAAGGCTGAGAAATGTCTTAGTCTCAACTCCATTCAGGTATGACATTCCACTAAATCTAGTGGAGGGTGAAGTCGAAGCATTCATTGTCCTACTTATGGCCAAATTTGTAATTGTCTTCTTCCCTGAATGGACCTATATTGAGACCTCACGCTTTGGCAGTGCCAGCGACACTGCAATTGGGAGGAGCACTATGCAAATAGCTTGAAAGCATCTCTATTTAGGGTTCAGAAAGACCATGGAGTTGGGAGACCACGATTCTCGCTGCTCTTCACTTCATTCAATCATAGCCTTGTGGACCAGCTTGATTCTCTGGCTGAAACCAACGATCCTGCTAGCAGCTTAACATCGGGTTGGTGACAGTCTCAACAAATTTAATTCTTAGCTTCTACTGAAATAGCTAGACCTTGAATTGAATACTTGGGTGGAATCTAATCATCATAACTTGGAAATTGATAGCCATTCCGCTACAATGCAAAGGTTAACAATGTGTGGTTTTGGTACCATTTCTTGTCCTCAACGTTTTGTTCTTCCACGACAATCTTATGGTGAATTCAACAGTATGAAACCTGCGGTGGTCTAGCTTTACTGATTCAGCTTCATAGTACTGGAGAAATGATATTGATGAATTCTTGTAGGGTTAGGGTACCTGCTGGACCCTCATTTCAACTACACAGGTGCCGATTTCAAGGACGGAGTTACATGGCTGGGACCCCATTTCTCCAAGGTGGGAGAAGTAGCGAATTTGTGGCAGAACTCCTTTGTGTTTCCTCTTGGGTCACGGACTCTCGTGAAACTATAGAGCAGCAGTTTAAGCTTGGTGTTCAAGCGGTGACCACCAACTTACCTTCGCTTTGCTCTACTGTCAAGCTGGAAAGGTAAGCTTTCAAAGCAGACAACTGTACATTATTGCCATAATTGAAGAAATCTGACTTTCCTTGGTCACCACATCCTTGTTTGTAAATGCTCCCTCCCAAGTCCGTTTGTTGAGGTAGAGCTTGCTGTCAGGAATCTAGACTATTGTTTTCTTCTTCCTCATTCCCTCTGCAAATTTTTGTTAAGTTATTTTTGTTCTCAAAGGGATGTATTAAAATCTGCCATGAACTAGAACAATTTTAGTCTGTTTGGCCTAATTTCTAGTTTTTGTTTGACGGATTCATGCAATTTAGATTTATTATCGAATATTATTATTTTTGTTCAACTTCAATAATTTATTCATACAATACAAGTTATTTATTAAGAAGATATAAAGTGAAGCTTTTTTTCTTCTTTTTTTCTTCTTTTTTTTCCGTTTCTTAGAGTGACTTAGCAATATTATAGGACCGCGTGGTTAGCTTTCTAGTTTAATTGTGAATGACTTTTCAATACATGTAATTAACGTAGTAAATATGATTACATTTGAATTATTTTTGGCTTATTTACAAACATGATGTTTCTCCTCTAGCTCAAAAATTTGATCATGAACAAAACTGATTTTTTGAAATATTGTGTACTGGGTGGCAATGATTAAAATCGAAATTTTGATTGGATGCATAACTTTCTTCATGGATAATATATATAAAACTGATGGTTCATAATGAGTTGAAGTTTTCTGGAAACATAATGAGTAGAAGAGACGCATCACTTCTAACTAGAGCATCAAAAAAAAAAAAAAAAAAAAAAAAAAAAAATGGTTCTGCGTAATTTACAAAAAAATCACTAGCAAGAAAATCTGTTGTTCTTATAATATAATGTATGTACGTTTTTGTTTATTTATTTATTTATATTTTTTATTTCCCCCCTGCCCACATGCCACATGTTGGTTAGTTCTCTATCAGAACTTCCATTGAAAACTCTCTACCACACTTGGTAACGAGGGAGCCAGTGTGCAAGGTTGCCCAACGTATGGCATGATAGCATCACAATGGGATTGAGAGAGAGTGAGTGGGTGTGAGGGAGAGGAGGGGGTTGTGGTGGTGCTGGATTTCAGCTTCCCACTGCTGCAGCAAGATCTATCCCTGGCTCCTCCTCCTCCTGGCAACCCTCCCGGATTGCACGCCCTCATCACCATCACCCAGGCGCAATTAACCCCCCCCCCCCCCCCCCCCCTCTACACTTTATGTAAATCTCATACAACCGTCTGATAGATCTCATTACTTTCACCGAATCATTTTTTATTTATTTAAGAACAAAAACATTCAACAACCAAGCTCTACCTGTCTTTTTTTCTCATGACGTGACCCCTTGTTTCCAGTCCCCAACCATAAAGTAATAATCCAATAATGCAATAAACAAATAATGGATGAATAGACTCCAAAATCATCCATCTTCGTTCTGTACGAAGATGCATAAAGACAGCGGGTTGGATGAAGAGGATGGTGGTCACGTCGCGACTCATGAAAGATGGGAACATGGGCCCGGGAAAGGAACAGAGGCTACGAAGGAGTGGAACGATGTTCCCGGGCGTTCCCGTGCAGCGCAACCGGGTCTTCTGCAGGAATGCGCGGGCCGCAGATTCGGATGCCGGGGCAGATGCAGGGGACGCGGTGGGGCAGAAGCAGCAGCAGCGTGGTTGGGTGGGGGGGGGGGGATCTCGACACTCGGAGGAGGACCTGCAGCATCAGCAGCGGCGATTGCCATCGCATGCATCGGATTGTGACTCCGCGCGGTGCAGAGCGGGCTCTTGGCCCCGTTTGAATGAGCCCAATTCGCGAGTTCAAACTCAATTTGCGACCCGGTGCTTCGGAGAGGCTTTTCTTGGCTACAGTTCGTGAGGAGGAGGAGGAGGGAGAGAGGGGGGTATGGAGTTAGTCGAGAGCCGGACGTTGCTTTGGACTCGGTGTTGAATTGTTCTTTTACTTGGACGAAAGGTTACCGAGTATAAGACAGGTTGGTGCCTGGAGAATCGCTTCCAATTTTTTTTCTTCTTATTATTTGGTTTGTAATCGTGGTTGAGTTTTTAGGCTCGTGAGTGGGAGTTGAGGGTCGTTTTCGCAGTTTCTTGTGCAGTTTCTTTGGTGCTTTGCTTGAGCTTTTTCTTTTCTTTCGTGGTGGGCGACAGCCTGTTCCCGGATTTTCGTGAATTTCGTGGGAGCGAGACTACAGAGGATTACGTTGTGATAAGTATGCGTTGTGTGGGAAATTGAAGTTGTACTGACGTGGAGGTTTTAGCTGATCACCAGGAGTGCAAATTTTGGAACGAGGACAGAGAAGGAGTAAGGTTGAAGGCTGATTCATCGCACGATGGGTAGTAGGGCTGGATCAGAAGGAGGAGGAGCGGCAGATGCTGCGAAGCGCTCATTGAATTCGCCGAAAAGTGCTCGCTCGGCTGCAAACACAGTCCCCTCCTCCACCGCGCAGAAGAAGTCTTCTCAAAGCAATGGCCCAACTCTTCGTCGCAAGCTATCCAGATTTGGGTACGTCTTTCTCAAGCTCCTCTTCTTTGTTGGGCGTTTCGATATTACTGACTCTTTACGGAGGCGTGCTCAGGAAAAGCTCAAATGAGAATTCTGTCTTTTCGAGAGTAGCAGACAGGGACAAATGTTGCGAGTAACTTTCATTTACGCATTTGTGTAATTAAAAACCATTCGGGTGTGAGCATTCATCATTTGCCATTACTTTTGCAGTAATTTATGGTCGAGTATCGGGGTTCTCTGCTCATGGAATGCTTTCACAGCCTTTCTGAGTTTCCATTTTCGTGGTTTCAATGTACATCCATTCTTATGGTATTCTTATGAGGTATAAAATAATGATATCCGCTGTATACTGCTCGTTGAGCTCTTCCTCACGAACCTCAGTCGATGTACTTCACGTTTCTTCTAAATTCTCATGCAACCACGTCCATTTTTAAAAGGAAGTATCCGTTCGTCTCAGAACAAGAGCAACGTGATCCTTTCCCAATGTTATCCATAAATGACCTGTTATAGTCTTGCCACTTCATAATTGAGACGGACTATCTATCCTCTTGATGCATATTCCCAACAATAGGTGCAACTTGACTGAAGGTTACTCTTAAATGTGAAGTCCAAACCCGTGAACTTCTAGCTATTTTTACTCGTCCAACAATAGTGTGCTTCCAGTGATGCACATAGCAATCAGAATGTATCAATCTGCGAATATTTATGTACTACACATTCATTTAGACTTCCGGGTTGATCTAAATTGGCGGTTCAATTTATCTGGAGCATCTTGTGCACCGTGTTGGTTGATTTTTTAAAATTTTATTTTAAACTAGCGGTCATCTCTCAATTTCTTTAGCTTGCGCATTTGAAGTTTAAGTCCTAATAGCATCTTTCCTGTTCTCGCAGGCCTGCTGGAGAGAGGACAGTGAAGCGTTTGAGGCTTTCCAAGGCTCTTACCATTCCTGAAGGCACTACTGTGGCCGATGCTTGTCGTCGAATGGCCACCCGACGGGTGGATGCTGCTTTACTCACCGATTCTAGTGCGCTCCTTTGTGGAATTATCACGGACAAGGTGAGGTTCATCATCTTATTTTTAGATTTTTAAGCTTTGACTTTCCGAGTTGCTACAGTTGCTGCAGTTGAGATGTGAGAAGTACAGCTTCATCTGTTGTGTTTGTTGTTAAAATTGTGGATCAGTCTAGTAAGTAATGTCTGTTGTTTTTGTTACATTGCGCTCCAACATTCTGTGAAAGATCCATACCTCCGCTTGTTACAATCACCTGTAGCATCCGTGATTGGTTTGGGGGTTAAAAATTTGATGTGTAAGATGCAGCGTGGAGTTGCAGGATGTGGCAACTAGAGTCATTGCTGATGGACTGAAGCCTGAAGAGACATTAGTGTCGAAGGTTATGACAAGGAATCCTATTTTTGTAATGGGTGATACTCTAGCCGTTGAAGCTCTGCAGAAGATGGTACAAGGTGCAATAAATTTTACTTGCTTTTAACGTGAGTTTTCATTTAGTGGAACTTCCGTGTCGGTGTGCATTGTTTTGTAAGCAATGATGTATCTGATATTCTTTGCGTTTGTTTGTCTTGGCCCTAGTCTAACATTTTAGTCTTTACACTTTAATTTGTTCGCGACAAGTTAGTGCTGTTGTCTTACACAGATGAGCATAGTCACAATCTTGTTATGCTAATGCTGCTTGATGGGCCCTCACAGGCAAGTTCAGGCATTTACCTGTAGTGGAGGGAGGAGAAGTGGTAGCACTATTAGACATAACAAAGTGTCTCTACGATGCCATCGCCCGTATGGAGCGGGCTGCGGAGAAGGGTAACGCTATCGCAGCTGCTGTGGAGTCTGTTGAGCGTGAGTGGAGCGTCAAAGGCTCCGGTACAAATCTCTCTCTCCCCCTCTCCCTCTCCCTACCTCTCTGCCAAAATGCTTTCTTTTTTGTTTTTGGGTTTTTTTTCTTCTATATATTGAATGTTACGGAACTTTAATCATCGCCCTGAGTTTTTAGACTTCAGTTGAATATCCTTACTTAGAGAATGCATATACTGAGCCTCATAGAAGCACTTGTTGCTCTCGTGATCGCACAAGCTTTATGAGATTCATGTTAATTTGGTGTTAGTGTAACATAACGTAACAAATATTCAAGCACCTAGACATTGACATGCCAAATAATGAGAACTCAGGATATTTTGGAATTTGCCTCATCCTTGCGAAGCAGGGTATTTGAGAAGCAAGTAATAATAGCTTAAAGAAGAATGACCTTGAGCTCAATGCCGTATCCGTGGAATGTTTTATTCTATGTTTTGGCGATGATTTAGATCGTTACTATATTTTCGGGTCCGGCTTCTGGCTTACGGGGTATGTTACCATCGATTGGGCAGATAAATCCAGTTTTATAGAGAACCTGCGGGATCGCATGTTCAGACCTACTCTGGGATCTATAATTACGGAAGGAACAAAGTAAGTTGCAGTGGAGCTGGCTATTCCCTGTTTTCTTTATGCACACTTGGTTTATTGAAGAATTAAGTTGGTGTGGTGCTATTCAGATTTTGAGGTTTCCTCTGGTCATTTACTTTTTGTAGAGTGCCCACGTGTTCACCATCGGAGACAGTCACTGATGCAACAAAGAAAATGAAGGAGCAACGGATGAATTCAGTTGTTATTACTTCCTCAAGCAACAAACCGATAGGAATTCTCACGTGAGATTTTTCATACATTGCACCGCTCCTTAGGAAGTCATGATTTCTTGGAGAGGTGAAATATGTTCTTTTAAACAATGGTCATGACTATGAAGGTTCATGAGATTCATGAGGATGATTTAACTGTATTCATGTGTAAATTCCTTGATTGATCTCATTTCGGTGGTTAAAGAACTTCTCCTTTAAGAGTCATATGTAAAGAGGAGTTTTTTTTAACGTATTCGTCCTCTATCCGCCAAATCCTTAGTACGCTCCCAGATGCATATTGATCATGTTACAAAGTGACATGACATTATTTCAGTTGATGGTTTCAGCTCAAAGGATGTATTAATGAGAGTCGTTGCTAAAGACCTTCAACCAGAAAAGACCACTTTGGATAAGGTGCGATCTTTTGCATAATTTCCATAATAGTTGAGATTTTAAATTTATCTATTCTCAATGATCTGAATCGAACGACTCACTCACTCACTCACTCATTCAGTTATTTATTTTTGTTTAGTATTTTATGGTGAGTGAACTTGCTTGAGATTTAGATGCGATGTCATTTATTGTTTTTTGAGCTTGTGTAGGTAATGACACCTAATCCAGAATGCGCGAGTTTGGATACGACTTTGGTGGATGCACTGCATACAATGCACGATGGGAAATTCCTCCATCTTCCTGTTAAAGATCGTGGTACATACGCTGCTCCCCTGTTCTGTGTTTTGTAGTGTTATTGGGAGTATATTAGTTGCAGGTGTGATCGGGTCGTCCTTCTTCGGTGTCTGAGGTCTTCAGTTAGCTTCTGTATCATGGAAAATGTAGAACACCTGGGTTTTTCAATGTGAATGCTACACCCTACATACTAAATGCGTAGATCTTCAAGGAACTCTGCAGATGGGCTCTTGGTAGCCTGTGTGGATGTATTACAGCTCACACATGGAGCTGTAGCAACTGTAAGTGCTTGCCTCATCTTGGTATGCTTTTGATTTTGAGGAAGTATACCTATTTAAAGAACCATGTCATCAGCTCCTTTTCAAGTTTACATTATTAAGCCAGGTGGAATCCTCCGTGCTTCAGAGAGTTTCTGGCAAAATTGTGATACTGGAAAGTAGAGTTTACATCACATCTCGCAGTGATGGTGCGTATGTAGTGAAATGTTTGAACAAGACCTTTATAACCATAAGAGTGTATAAACGATCAAGCCTCTATTGGCCTCTGAATAGTTCTGGGCGATGTTCCCAGATTGGAGGTGCTGGTGGTGGAGGCCAAGATAAGGCAACAAATATGCTTCAGAAGTTTTGGGACTCTGCTTTGGCATTAGAACCAGCTGAAGATGAATCGGACACTCGCAGGTACGTCAACGCATATTGGTTACCCTGTTTTTGCCAAAATTGGCTTTATGTTGGTGGTCAATGTTTCAAATCAGATTGCTACGGTCACATTTGAGTTCTTGATTGCAGTGATATTTCTGGACGACAATATGATGTCTTTTCGGAAAGACAGTCCAGTTACCCATCATTTGGACCTAGCAACACTTTTGCTTTCAAACTGAAAGTAACTGCTCGTGATGGAAAGATAGGCCACTATCGGTTTAATTGCGGTAGGTCCCAGCCCAATCGCAACCTAGTTACGGTTAAATTTCAAAAATATGCTTGACATTGTATTGCTGTCTAGGGAAGGACTGATTGCACTCTATAAATCCTTCAAAAGTTGTAGTGGATCATTATGGTTGCCCTTAAAACTCATTTTAGCTTCCACTAAAATTTCAGGTTTTGAAAGTTTGACCGAGCTCATGTCTGTGGTTCTGCAACGTGTTGGTGATGATATTGATCCAACTCATCTTCCTCGACTTATGGTATACCATTATTTGACTTTGATATTGATGTCGTTGCTGATTTTGATTTTGACTCACATTTGAGGTAGCGCAGATCTAATGAATCGTGGTCATGCTTGTGAAATGTTGTGTGGTAGTATATCGACGACGAAGGTGACAAAGTTTTACTCGCCACCAACTCTGATCTTGTGGCTGCTGTTAATTTTGCTCGAATAAGTGGTTCGAAGGTGAGTTAGCATGCAAATGTTTGACAGGATATTGCAGGCATCATATGTGCAGAAGTCATTGAACTGAATCTGGGTTGAATGTGTCCTGTTTCATCGTGTTGCCGGCCGTTTAAAGGCAACTAGTTCTAGAGCCTAACTTGCATTTGAGCTCAGAGTTTCTAATGAAAGTTCTGATGTTCAGGCCTTGTCTCTTCATCTGGAAGAATCTCAAGAACCTCGAAACAATGCCATTGCTGCAAACAAAGATGTAGAGGGCTGGTCTACCATGCATTCCACTCTTATCGCTTGCACACTAGCAGCTGTTGCGGTCGGTGCTGTCTTGTACCTCCGTCGTTTCAATACTAGAGGTAGCTTTATGTAATATGTGGAACATCCATGGAAATTAAACAAGGTGTGTGGATCCAAGTATAATGTATTAGATAGCAAGGTTATCAGACACGGGTATGTAGGTTAGAAGTAAGTTTTTTAGAGGGAGTGGAAACGAACTTTTGGTGATTGAACTTTTACCTTCTAAGTACAAATAATCTGCGAATGTCTCAAACTACTCACAAGTGGTAGTCTCGGCAATGGTAAATCGTAGAAGCATAATGCTCGTGCTTCAGTGTCATGTCCTAACATCTCCTCTTTTATCTTCCTACATACTTTTCTAACAAGTCAGAGTTGTTGTCTTGAAGCAATTATATCAATTATGTATTCGTTTTCACTCGATTCTCGTCAAAAAAAGAAAAAGAAAAAGAAAAGGAATAAAGAAGTTAAATACCAACCTGAATTCCAAGCAGCACAATATTTGATCATATAATACTCTCCAGAATACTAAGTCGAAAAAATTCTCCACTAGCAATAGACAATAAGTAATACAAGCAGTCAACCAACAATGCGTGTCTAAATCATATAAAACGCTTACAATCACAACAGCCATTCCAATAGCTCGACATTAGGTTTCCTGACAAGCAGTCGGAAATATATGAAGAGAGAAATTATAAATATTCGAAGTGACGAACATCAATTGATCACATGAGAATTTCAATCGACGAATGGGGTTAATCCTACACAACTGAAAGCTTACAAAATCTATTCAACTATACTATGGATCCCCACATTAAAACAACAGCATGTGCTCAACATGCGGTTGATGCAACCAATTCTGAAGGGGTTTCCCATGACTAACAAAGCATCCAACGTTGGAGCTTTCTACGTAAAATGGGGACCCCAAGGCAGTCAACAGATTCTGAACTGCTTGCCTTACTAACGAAGCCCCAGGGACGCGGCTGTGCTTCCCCCATCCGGTAATAATCTCAATCCGCTCCGGCGCTACTCCAGTGTACAACATCTTCTCTCTAAATTCGGAGAGAGTTCTGGATAGCGCCACGAGCGCCGTCCCCATAGACATAACGTGGAGATTGATAGAGTACTGGTTATTAGCCTTCATTCGCACCGCTTGGGGATACAGATTATGCTCCCTACCGACCTCCCAAACAAGCCCCGCCTCTGGTCTCCGTTCCAAATTGTGCAGAAACTCGATCAAGGAATCTGTAAAGCCCCTCTTGCAATCGTGCTCCTCCCCATGTAAACTCTCAAAAAAATGCTGAACAATGTGTTTCAGCTCCTGGGGGGGAAGCTGTCGCAATAGTAATGTACACACGAAAGAATAGACAGTCTCTGAGGATCTGTGCATGAGGTTGACTACCTGGTGGTGCTGTGCACTTGCTGTGCAAGAGCTTAAAAGAATCGTGTGTGTTTGTAGAGTGGGAACCAGTCCCCACGCCTTCATAGTCTCTATGACACCGAAAGCGAGGTCAAATTGCTGCATGCGCAGGTAAGAGCCCAACAGGGAGTTGGAAATCTGAACGTTGGGTGTTAGTCCGGAGTCCAGCATCTTCTGGTACCATTCGAGCGCGCGCTCTGCGTTTCTGGCCTTGCCCCACATATCCACCATAACGCCGTAAATGGGAGCGTCGGGCACCCAACCAGCTTGTTCCATTTCGTTGAACATAAGCTCCGCTTCCTGGAGGTGCCCGATTTGACCCAAAACTTCCATCATGATGCTATAAGTTACTCTATCGGGGTGGAACCCTGCGTCTTGCATGTCATTGTAGAGCTTCATAGCCATAACGTAGTTGCCGGATTTAGCTTGTAAATCGATGATGATATTATAAGTTACAAGGCTGGGTGCAAACCCACGCTCTACCATCTCCTCGAAAAGCTTCAAAGCTTCGCTAACTTTGCCAGCCTTGCCAAGGCAATGAATTATGACACTGCTCAAGGAATCAAAATCAGTGCCACGAAGTTCGAAAACAACTTTATTCATCGTTGCAGAAAGCACAAACAGAGCAAGTATATTATGAGGAATGAGACCCAAAAACCAATTGACCACACACACACAAAAAAATACTAAGAAAATTTGTGTGCAATTATTGTACCCCATTAGGCAATAATTAATTGACTGTGATGCAGAACATACCTGTATGTAAAAGTGTCTGGCTGAAATCCCGCTTGCTGCATTTTCTGATACATGTCCATGGCATTGTCATGAAAACCAGCTTTGGAATGGAGGTCCACAAGAGTACAATACGTGACGCGGTCAGGGCTACAGCCCTCTTCTTGCATTTGATAGAAGATCCGCATGGCTTCACCCAAAAAATTTGCTCTTCCATAAGCATGAATAAGCCTATTGTATGTTACAACACATGGCTCGCAGCCCTCTCTCCGCATCTCCTGAAGCAACCGGCTACAAGCCTCAAAATTCCGGGCACGACCCATGATGCCTATCATTGTGGTATAAGTGCACACATCATGCTTGTAGCCCTCCTGCTCCTTCGCCCAGTCGAAGAACTTCAACGCTAATCCCGACTCCTTCTGATGCTTCAGAACCTCGTTGATGTGGAAAGCACTCAGTGTCCTGTTAACGCGGGATAGCGCGACCAGTGTATCCGGCCGCCAATTGAGCTGCCTCAAAATGTTACACACATGATCTACAACTTCGCCATTAGCAGGTCGAGACTCAGATGCTGTTTTATGATTCAGCCGTCTGTTACCAGATTGAGATCGGCCGTTTGAGTTCTGTCCAGTTCGGCCTTGAGAAGCAGCTTGGAAGCGCTCTTTGGTACTTGATCGAGGCACAGGTAACCCATCCCCTGGAATGTCACCAGTAGCTCCAACTGACAGATGCCGTGACAGTGAAACAGATGGGGCATTTCCGAGGGGGTTGCAAGGTTGCCCCCATGGCCGCACCGGAGAAGAGGGAAAGGCTGAAGGCTTAGACTGGACACCGCGCGACTGCCAGCCTGATTTAAATGCTTCGTCATTACTGGACTTCTTCTGGGAATCGCCTGCACTTGAGACAACAGCAATTCCTTGATTTACAGAAGTTTGGGGACCATCACTCTCATTCTGAGCAGGAAGAGGATTTCTCACTTCCTTCTCAGCTGCAACAGTTGAGCTGCTTCGAGAAGAAGATGAATTCGACTGCTGTCGTCGCAAACGGTAATTGTTAACGCTCCTACCCCCGGCAGCAGCCGTTACCACATTCTCCACATTAGATAAGCTTGGGAGTGCTGCAAAGCCAACTTTCGGTGTAGGTTGCGGATCGGAGTTAATTGCGGCACGAGAGCCACCAACATTAGAGCTCGTCTTCCCATGCTGTCCATTCACAGCACCTTCTGAGGCATGCCCTTCGACAACAGTATCCCGAACGAAGGTTCCTGGTACAGGGACGTTGTGTAGATGTGGGTTTCCACTAGGGTGGAGAGAAGGATGTCCCAATACATGGACCTGCTAAGGAGAAAAGTGGATCGTTAGACAAGGACAATGTACATGAAAACTTAACATGACACACAAGTAAAATTAAAAGACGAGCTCCAGAGGAGTGTTGAAAAAATTGAAAAACAAAGCTCCTGCAGTTGAAAAGACAATTTTAGGGCACCGTGAGACTCACTCCATTTCCAAGGTGGGATAGAGGAGGAGATACAGGAGGGATCCTCTTAGAATGTTCGTCCCTCTCATCTGCATTACTGAAGCCATGTGGATGACATGTGCCATCACTATTACGAGACCCCGCAGAAGTACCAGCTAGAATCCATGATCGCTGACTTGCCTTGATCAAAGGCAATACCTTGTTCGGTCGAAGCATTTGGCTGAAATCATACCACACACATGGGGGCCTTAGAAGATGTGTAGAAGCTATAGTCTGAAAGGAAACACGATCACGGAGCACACTGAGAAAACCATGGCAAAAGAGTGACCTAACCATCTAGAGCTGCAGAGATGAGAACATTTCAAGAAATATAAGCCCAAAGTATAGTCTGAAAAGAGTAGTGCAGTACCTGTTAAGACTGAGATTAGACTGAAAAAGCTAGATTTTAGAGAATATCTTCGGCTAGGTCACTGAGACTCTGAAACACAAGAAAACAACAAAATATATGTCATGCAGTAAACTTCAACTCGAAATCAACCCACATAATTCACTCCCTTTCTCACCGTACCATGACGTACGAAAATCCTCAACAGTCGGCTAGAATGAGAGCATACTTGTATGCGTATAGAACTACTTACCTTAGACGAAGAAGGAAGATGGACAGGAGCTCAACCCTGCCCCTGCCCCTCCCCCTTGAACCCTGCATCTTAAATAATCACATGAAACATGTAACATCAGGTAATAATCTAGGCATGTACACAAAATGTGGAACATACCCAATGAAAAATCTAGTAATCAAGTTCGCAAACATTTAACCCAGAAAATCGTTCGTTCCATGCGATTATTTTTCCCAATTTACAGCATGCTCTCGCCCAATGATACATAATTTAAAACTTTACTTAAAAATGAGCGACTAATGAAAACGTTCATAATCACATCGAAACGAGGGAAGTTAAGAAGCTCCGTGTTCTTTGGGCTGGGAGTTTGACCATCCACACAAGAGGAGCATCCCCGATCCTACGCCAAAGTGACGGCTTCCCTCGAAAAATAGCACTACTACCGACAAGGTAGGTTTCATCCAGCAACCCAGTGATAACTTCAAGGTAGGAACACGACCTTCCACCTCAAGACAGGAGGAATTCAGTATCGACCGAGGATTTTCAACTCCAGCGAAATTTCCTTCACTTCACCCTACTCGTCCACATGCAGCAGCTCCAAAAACAAAAAAAATGACAGACAAACAAACAAACCAGAGAAAATCCACCCCCCCCCCCATAAAGAAAACTAGACAGGACCAGCACCGTCATCATTCGTAGATAGCACTACACCAGCACACAACACGGAGCACCGAACAACCCCTCCCCCAAGCATCAACTCGAGAACTTCAGAAATAAAAATCCAACTCCCCAAGGCCACGCAGATCTCACTTCAACACCAGGTAACATAGTAAAAAATGAAGAAAAAGAGAAAAGAGAAAAAATGACCCCAACCTCGAGCTTCCCTCATCACCATCAGAAACCCCAACTAGACACAAAAACCAAAACAGAAACTCCTCTGACTCGCCACAGAATTGCACACCCAATAATCACGCAGAGAGAAACCAGCACTGACCTGTGACGCATGGCGCAGAGGAAGTGAGAGCACCGGCACCATGTCCATTCACAGAACTGAAGCGAGAATGAGGAGTTGAGCCGCGGGGACCGCCATTGCTGCGACACGGTTTGGGATGTGCCACCACACAACTCCACATTCACTCGCAATTCCCAGTCTCCTTCCTGAAGAGCACTTTCCATTAGGTTGGAGTGTCAGTCCGCGAGATCGTCCATCCAACGAACGAAGTTCGACGGTGTTCGTCCGAAACTGTTTCCGAGTTTCCCGTCATGGCCAGTATTGTTCGCGGCACGAGGACGAGAGCCTCTTTCCCAGGGTTAGATATCGAAACAGCAATTGGGCATGCGTGGGATTGTATGGGACTTCTGAGCCTTGAGAAGGTTGACGCTGCTGGAGTAAATTAACACCGATAGCTGCTGCTTCTGCTTTTGCTGCTGCTGCGTGCGACCCGCGACCCGACTCGACTTTCGTATGTGCTTTATCAGCGATTGAGCAAGTGAGTGTTTCCTAGTCTTGTTTTCATTTCGTTTTTCCATGCGCGAGTCGGTTGCTGTTGTTGGAACCCTAAGGTTTTGTTACAATTTGTTATTGCTGCACTCGCAATGTATTGGGTTGTGCCGCTGTACGGGGAGAATGCAATATTTAGGGCTTGTGTAGTACTCTTGCGAATCGCTTCAGCTGTAGTTGACCAGGAGTTTAGCGTGACATGATTTTTCAAATTTTTAGGGTTTTGGGTGGTGTCGATGTTTTGGCTTTGGTGCTGTTGCATGTTTACGTTGTTTTTTCGTATCATGGGATTTGACATAAATGTTGTCTCGTGTACATTAGATGATAGCTCTCATGAATCGTGTGTGTGTTTGAATCTGTAAATTATTGCGGGTTGGAGAATTCCACCTCGTAGTTTTGTGCATTTGCGGGACGAGATGCTAGCGCTAGGATTTTGTAGGGTTTCTCGTTGTCTTCTCTTGCAGTTCCTCTGACTTCAGGAAAGGGTATGGATAGGGTATTAGCGAAGAATTTTGGGTCACCAAGAGGGTGGGCATTCCCGTTTCTCTATTGTGTCTGGTTTAGGCTTCGGCAGAAATATGTACAGACCTTTGTTGTTGTAAAAAAGATAGGATACCTAGTGCGTGGTTTTGGGCGATTTGGGGTGTTAAACGAAGCTGTCGTAGTAGAGTTTCCTGTCAAGTATGACGTTTCTTTTGCAGTTATTTTCTGTAATGTCGCACGGGTTTCTTACAGCATCCTTTTGGTATGGCAGTGGATCGAAGACGCGACCGGGACCGAGGTGGTGACCGTGACAGAGGAAGAGACAGAGATCGCGAATGGGAGAGGGAGAGAGATAGGGACAGAGACAGGGACAGGGACCGGGAGAAAGGGCGGCTGAGGTCGAGAACGAGATCAAGATCTAGGTCTCCCCCAGCCAGGCATCGTCGCTCACCGTCACATGATCGATCATATAGAGGCGATGACAGACGTGATGGGAGAAGGGAGAGAGAACGAAGTAGAGGCCGAGAAAGAAGCCGAGACAGGGACAGAGAGAGAAGTAGGGAAAGAGAGAGGAGCAGAGATAGAGGTCATGGAGGAGATCGTGAGAAAAGCAGAGAGAGGAGTGATAAGAAGATTTCTGAACAGAGAGACAAACGAGATGGGAGCCATGGGGTAGATAACCAACGCGCAGCTGTGGCTGAATTCGTAGATGGGATTGCCAGTGAAACCAAAACTGACTACGCGGCTCCACCTGCAATGGACGATGATGAGAATATGATGAAGAAGCTTGGAATACCGACGGGTTTCACATCGACAAAGGTGAGATTCTGTGGTTCGTTGTGCTTTTTATGAAGTTGGTGCTGTTCGAATACTTTGTGTATTCTATTATGTGTCGAGTTTGGCTTGAGGGGTCTCAGTTCGCCCTGCAGTTCCAAGCACATAAAAAAAAATTATGCTTAAGGAATTGTGTATTTCACTTATTTACCATTATATTTATTTGTGTTTTTCACAAAAATCTTATTGAGATTGCGGAAGGAAAGTGTCATGATTGATGAATTTTCATTCTTCTCAAATGCTTTCGGTTCCTGTATTTGGTCGTTGGGACAGGGGAAATACATTCCAGATGCGAATCACAGTGCGGTAAAGCTCACCACAAAGCGTACGCCACGACAGTACATGAACAGACGAGGTAATCCCCTCTTTTTGAATCTCCAAAACTTCACACAGCTGATACAATGCATTAACTACTTGAAGGCGTGTCAGAGAGAAAATATGTGTTAATTTGTGTCGAAACCGATATTTTATAGAATGTTATTCTTTCTCGCTTTGAATGTGTTAGTTCTAAGATACTTGTGAGTTGAGCATGCTTACTACTCGCAGATTTGTTTGGTGTCAGTGTATGGCCCGTGTACTCCCTAACTTGACTAAAATTGATCTTCCCGTGCAGGTGGATTTAATAGGCCATTGCCTGCTGAGTCAAATAGATGAGAATTAATATCTCACTTCGAACGTATCACTGGCAATTGTCAAGGGCTTGCAATGCAGTCATGATCTGGGAGACATTTCAGCTCAATCTGGTTTTGATATGGTTGGGCGGTAGCACTGCCAACAGGCGTTTGAATACCTGGTATCTGGTTAGAATTTTTCGCTCTGGAATGCCGACTATATTTAACCTTTTACATTATCCAGGTCACTTATTAAACCACTTAAATGTTTCCCCTTTGGACTGTACAGTATCTATGTGCCAGTTATTATTTGTAGCATGATCGGTTTCGGCTGTAGTAGAGATACAAAAGGATCTGTTCATTTCTGTGTTATACTCATGCAATGCTTATTTTAGGACATGCAAATTTATCAGGATTATTTGTTCACTTGTCTATTCAAGCAGGTGACTTGTCCACATCTTTTGAGCATGTTTGTACTCTAGGTACATGCGGTGTCTGATACTGTTCATTCCACCAGCGGTTCTCATAGTGCCGTGCCTGTATGTACTGCTCCTCGATGGAACCGATGGGACTGGGATTTTCTGTGCCTGTGTCAAAACTATCTTCGTCTGAGAGGTTGGGGAAAGGACATTGCTGTTTATCGCACTGACCTGGTTTGTTTACTAGGAAGTTCGAAATTGTACAAGCAGGGCAGGGTTGCTATTTGTCTCCATTGAAGGTCTATTCCTAGTTGTGGAATAATTGCACCTTGCTCTGCTACTTGAAGCCAAGTGTGTTGGTTTGAGTCCAGTATCATTTATTTGTTTACAGCTTGTTGGTGTAAACGCCAGAACACCAAATGCCCTTGTTAGGGCATATGATTAAGAATTGTGATGTGATTTTCTATTTATGGTTTATAAATACGTGCAGTTGTTCACTATGGTTCTGTTACAGTGCTGATTAAGTTTTCATCCACCTCATTAGTTTTCTTTGCTTTGGTATGACTGCGAATTAAATAATCAATTTTTGAATGAAAAGAACAGAATCTTTTAGAGGGAAGCGTTTTTAATGTTTTGAAGTCACATGCTTGTACAAGCGCATCGATGAGTAAGTCTTCCTTCAAGAGTCGTGTCTTAATCCGTTATTGTTCAGGATTTGGGGTAATTTGTGGACTTTTTAGAAATACAAGCAAGCGACTGAGAGTGCTGCAAAAGTGATGAGTTCGAGACAAGATCATAAAACAGATAAAAGAAAATTTGTAAGTGCGCCATTTTTTTCTTGTTCTCTTTTCCAGCCACGCTCATTTACACATTCTGCTTTGATACAGGAAACTTTCCGTTCCCCTGTTCAATTCAGATTCTCCACAAGACGCGAATACAGCGATCAAAGCAATCAAGTTCTCCTTAAACCTGAATAAATAATAAATCATTCTACAAAATGATCGCTTAGTCCAATAGTACCTATACATAGATTTGTGCGACTTTCACGCCAAATCCGAGCGACTTGTACAGTGTATCTGGTGCTTGACTCAGCTAAGAAGCTTCCATGAGCACAACTATTGATGAATCGTAGTAACAAGATTGCAGCCAACAGTCTGCGTTTGAGATTCTCTGGTCTTATCCTCGAGATGTAGCCTCCAGAAACCTAATAGCTTCTAACATTTCCTCTTTCTCCTTGTTCTTCATGTTAGTCATGACTGAGACAGAGAGGAGGTCCATTGGACCCGTTGAACACGCATACCCGGTTGAGAAACCTGTCAAATCTGCGCTGCAAGCTATGTTATTCATCATGTTCACGTATTTGTCCCTAATTCGTACCAGAAAGTCCTTGATCCTCCGTTTCTTTGCATATTGAGGTTTTGAGCGCGATGTTTCAGAGAATGCACGCACACAGTGTTCTGGCACAGACTCGAGAGGATAGCACTTCTGGCTCCTCTGGTTCATCTTCACTCTTGGTGTGTTCATCGTTGACTGCGCCACCTTCTCCTCTTGAGACGTGATTTTATAAAACCGGAGGCTGCAGCACCTGAATCTAGCTCAATGATGAATAATGGCCTGCCTTGCACGAGTCAAATCGATTCACGTTCAGTCCATTTCCAAAGAGTAACCAATTGGTCGGCTCACATTCTAAAAAACCTCTCTGACGGAGTTCCCTTACCCTCGACAACAAAATCCTCTCCTTATCAGATTCAGTTTCGATACACTTAAGAACTAGAAAGGTCGCTTCAGATACCGGTAACAAAGGTAGGTGCAGTGGAGTGAGTTTTGGGTTGAAGAACAGTCTACGATTTACTCATCGCCATCAGCCGAGGGTTGAAGCCAAAGGATGCTTCCTACAAGTCAACAAAAGCGAAGAACTGAAAGCAACTCTAGCAACGAGTGCCTCCAAGAGCTGTGAGTCCACAAGAAAAAGGAGTACGTTAGAGAAGATGTATTTGGAACTGAGCGACTGACCAGGATAATGCACTGAAACCAGTCACTAAGAACATCTGATACATACACGCTAAGCCCACCGGATTTCTCAGCAGAACCGTTGCCTCTGAAGCTGCCCAACTACCAAGAGCACAATCGGAAGACGCAGGAGCCAGTCAAGGTTGCCATCATCGGTGACAGTATCCGTTTAAGTCCCCACAGAGTAGTCGAACGCCAGTACAAGTTCACCACGCCGCCCCTGCGCCAAGCAACTCGATCTCCGGACGGGGACACCAACCTGAGAGGATTCAGTCACATGAGACAACTCTAAGTGAAGGGGATGAATCATCAGCCACCAGGAGAACCAGCCACGAAAGTTGCATCAATTAAGACCAGAACCCAAAACTTCAGAACAGATTTTCACCCCAAATATAATCAAGGAATCGGTGTCCACAACTGCATGCCTGGTCCAGTTCCGAAACCAAAATCAAAAAAAAACTAATCTCGACGGGGGGCTATGCGGTTGAACCACAGTAACTGATTGACACCGGGATGAGCTAGATCCCCAGCACCGAACCCATCGTTGCAACAACATACCAAGCACCCTCCTCGCGCGATGTCTGGTAGCATGAGCTTGCGCGATGCATGGTCCCATGACAGACAGACAGCCAGTCTCAATAATAAAAATAAAAAACACTACCTACTAGACTCTCGCTGATCACGCATCACGAAGGCAAAGACATGCGTAGTGATATCAACATGAATCACACTCTCGTCGCCATGTCCGCGACGCTAAATTTAGCTTTGGGCTCGGGCCGTGGGGTGCGAGGTCCATGCGAAACGCGATGAGGGGCGGTGATTCGCAAGTACCCCCACACCCATTGACAATCGAGCACTGTGTTTTTTGTCTATTCTGAGCCGGCGCTACTCTTCTCTCTCCTCCCTGCTCTGGCGACCAAGAGTGAGAGAGAGTGAGAGGGTGTTCACGCCTCGCGGACCGACACCGCGCGGGCTCATCGATGGATTGCGTTATTTCGATCTACAAAAAAACTCACTTTGCTTAACTAGACGACATGAATCGACGACAAAACCTCGACGATTTTTAGGGCATCGTTTAGATTTCTGACTTTTCTGGTTTTGCTTTTGGCTCTGATTACGTAGTCAAATGAGGTAAAAAAATAAAAAAGTAAAAAAATAACATTCTTTCTTTTTGAAAAGAGGGTGTTTGAGTGATCCTTGTTTTGTGGATTGAGCCACTTCTTTTCCTTTTCAACATTATGTAATATTTTGCAAATGGAGGATGTAAAAAGCATCACTTTTGGGCGTCAAAATGAGGAAAATGTGACTTGATAGTTTTATTTTTTACACTATGTATTTGTGGTGGAAATTGATTAGGTTTCACCAAAGAATCTGTTCTCCATTTTATTGACTAGGCAATGCTTTTTGTTCTCCCATTGATATTTTACATAAATTGTACTTTAACTTTTTACTACTTTTCTAGCAAGTTGTATTATTTCATAGATTTTATTATTGTCCTATATCATTAGCTTCTTCATTTTTTTAAGAATTTTTTATTCATAAATTCTCCTTGTATATGTCTCAATATATACATATATATATTTATATATATCAAACAACTCAAGGAAATAAACTAATGGGATAAATTAGAGGGGACAAAAACCATCTTTGACTGGCTGTGTATCTCATTGTTTTCATCAAAAGTGAAACAAAAATGAAGAAATAACTAAAGTTTTGATCAATCAAAGTTTAAAATCTGCATATTGTTGTTACAAATTGCCAAGAATAATACTGCAATATCACTAAGCATGAAGCTTGGAAGCTCCCAATCATAATTTTCAGTAAATATTTTTTTGTGGCCAATGACATAGGTTTCCACTATATATATATATATATATATATAAAGAGAGAGAGAGAGGCTTGTGTAAGTGAGATACCAAAGACTAGGAGTAAAGAAATAATAAGACCATCGTTCATACTCAACAAGTGTTTTTTTTAAATAAAATAAAATAAAACAACAGCATCAATCACACCAGAGCATCCTGTCATCATGCCAAGTCAGCAGCTCATGCTGACATGGCAGACAGGCAAGCATCTATCCCGAGTAGTCCAAGTGAATCGGGGGGACTGTCGGTTTAGGGCTTCGTCATCCTGCTGCGGCGCTGATGCCCGCAGGATGTCACGCACGCCTTCCTCTGCATTGCGTCATAACTAATCTCGCCTCCAACGCCACCCTCTCCACCTTCAATGCTGGTCCACTGCTTCCCCACTGCAACGGATTCTGGATCTATCTGAAACAATGGTTGGTCCCGTTGGAAAGCTAACATAGATGGATGTTGAAGTTGCACGACAAGCGAAATGAAGCAGAAGAAGATGAAGATGATGATGGAGTTATTTACAGGTCTTGAGATGATTATGTGACAGCGGTACTGTCTTGAGATGATTATGTGACAGCATGACCTTGCTGAAGTCTCGGATTTTGTAAGGAAGGTGTCTGCACGCTCCATGAGTCAGATTCTGCGCAGCGGCGACAAAATCCTGACTTGCTTTCGGAATCTGAAAATAACTATGTTTGATAAGTCGGTACTATTCGTGTTCGAGCTCCGAATTTTTCTGTGGGCTTTGAAACTGGGTTGAGATCCAGGGGAGTAGGGCGTGGAAGCTGGACCTTGAATAGAGAATCGAAGCGGGAAGGGAGGTGATCTGTCGAAAGTGGGCCATGTCTTACTGTCGGCATTGCTACGCCTGCTTCTCCTTCTCTTGGAGTTTTGTGCCTGGATAGTCATAGCCTGGGCATGGGTAGAACGTCAACATGCCCGCCTGGTTTGCTCCCCAGGCCATGTCGTTCATCAGCTTCGCGTACCTGTCTCGAAACGTTAGTAAGATTCTCATGGGTGTTGCAGCCTTCTTACTCTGCGTGGGACGTCCAGGAGACTCAACCACTCGGCATGGTTTTTCACTGGGAGCTTCGCAATGTTCCAGGATAGGCTCCAACGCATAGCAGTTCTTCTGCACCGTCGGACACTTTTGTGACACCTTCGAGTGCTTCTTTCGCAAGTCGGTTTTTCCCCCTTGAACGAGCATCTTCGACGGTTGGCTCTAGATTCATGGAAGCTCGTGTTTCACCGACCTGTCAGTTTCCCACACCAGCCTCTACTGCTCGCAGCAACGCTCGAAACACGAAGGAAACTGTAATTTCAATTGTAAGAAGAGCTCACGAGAAGTAACACAAAGGTAGCTACACCCCATTAAGCGTAGAGACTCAACAACATTAGAAAACTTGGACCAACTACAATGAACTGAAAATCGTGAGTCGTCGTGTCCGAATATGAGAGAAAAGGAAACGGTGGTGGATATATGTATACGGACGAGCACGAAAAGTTTAGCATGCATGGAATGCTGTCAGGCACCGAATATCTACATACTCGGAGTGCGAGTCGGCACACGATGAGTTCTGCCCAATACAGATTGAGGAACTTCGGTGACCCTGGCAATCGGGGGCAGGAATCTGGTGACCCGGTAACGCTTCGGCCATCCACACTTTGCGCGTGAGGATGGTCAAGAGCTACACGTCTGTAGCAGTCCATCATTTGTTGTGGCCTAATCTACAGTTCCAATTGGGATCAAGTGGGTACGGCATGACCCGACCAATTGAATTTCTTTCCACCTCCTTAAATCTTGTGCAGGTGAGTTGGGGGAACCGACACTCCAAGCGTTGAACCTACCGTTCAGCATGGCCCTCGGTGGAGCTACTTCATGCAATATCAGGAATATACTTCAGATTTAGAGGCGTTCATTATTCCGAAGCCCATCATTTGAAGCCACCATTGTAGCTCCACCCTTCTAGCTCCACTGCAGCGATTTTCCCCTGTCATTGTTGTTTTCGTCTGCCATCCAGATTCGTCTTCTCGCCGAATAATGTAGCAAATGGAATCATGGCACACTATATATCCTCCAGGTCAGAGGAAGGATACACACACTCAGATATATATATATATATATATATTGAGTGTGTGTGTGGTTGTGATCCACATCTTGAGTTTTGACGTTACAACCAAATTATTATTCAGATCATCTTTTATAAATAGTCACACTTGGACTGTAAAGGTTCCACATGAATATCCAGAGATTAGGATTTTACTTAAATCATGTGCAGCGGAAGAAATTGAGATTGAGATCATCGCGGTTAACTACATTTCTACCAACATCATTCGAACTTCGACTAGAATAATGCTGAAGAAATGCCTCAATCCACTTGTGGAAGATGACGGCTTGCTAAAATTTGTTGTGTTGGCAGTGACCAACAAACTATCCTGGAAGCTGAGATGCTCAACTTCCACAAAACGACCACTCTCGACATTAGGGAGACCGAGCCCGGACCTCGAAATTTGTAATTGTCTGCTGCATCCGCTTAACAACGATAATCCTTCCCAATAGAACACATAATCCCTGTTTCTTCACCATACTACACTTTGAAACTAACTCTCTGACCGCAAGTCGTAAAGCGTACACGGATTGATTAGACAGCAACGTGAGGGATAGAAAAATGAGTAAAAGCAAGGTAGAAATGATGACCTGGGCTCTCCCTTAGCCAAATCATGTGGGAGAAAGAGCGACAACAATGTTTGCAGCTGAAAAAGTGAGCGCAAAAGCAAATACTCATCAAGGACCCACCCGACAGTCTGCAACTCATCAAAGAGTTCCAATCGACTAGGAACTCCATCAGAAAACGATGGCATGATAAATCAAGGATGAAGGACATAATTGATGGTATCACCAAAATGGGATAACACATGGCAGGATCTTGTTTATAATTCGAACTTACTGATCCGTAAGGAATTGTACAAATTTCTAGAATACAACCAACCTGCCCAAATTGCCGTCAGCTAGAAGCCCGATTTCAACAAACTTCACTAGATCTGAGTAGTTTGTTATAGACTTTGAAGATCACTCCTCCGTGGTTGACAAATTGGAGGTTTCAATCTGTGCAGGCATTTCTTGTTGCAGAGCAGGGACATGGCGTGCGAGGTGGTGGTGCCATCTGCCACCATAGACTTGGCAATCACAGGGAAGGTCAACTCCGCAATTGATTTGTCGTCATTGAGGATTTCGACGGTGTCCACATTGAGTTTCTTGGGAAAATCCTAGAGTTCCTGATCCTTCCGATTATGATGTGGGCAACAGCTTTCAGCACGGAAATGCAGTTTTGGAGCTTCTCAATTGCAGCAGGGGGGTCGATTAGAATCACATTCGAGTGGCGGTACTTATACTCGACTAGGTACTAGATCCAACTTTCTCCTCCGTGCTTGTGGATGATTGCGTTAAAAGGGCTCTGATCTCCCAAGGGCTTCGTCATGTTGATGAGCAAAGTTGAAACCCATGCTCTTTGTGTGCTCGACTAGTGACGGTTGCTAAAAGCCTTTCACCTTCTTCTCAGCTGAGGCGTACCCTACCATGAACACCTCTCCCCCCGACGCTGTAGTTGCAACCAAACATAAAACCCCACAGAATAATTCAGTCCTTCCTGCAGAACATGCAAGAATTCCACTCAATTGTGACCCACAACATTCCGACCACATTCAGTGCAGATTGGCTCTCACAATCTAACATCAACCTGGCTCTCAAATCTCCAACAAGCACACCATTCTCCAAGCACTTCAAACAATGTTGTCTAAAAACGCTACCAACTCTCTACTCATCTACAGTTACTCAAAATATGCTCAACCTAAAACCCACCAATCTCATCCAAAAAAAACCTCCCCAAACACACCGATCTCCTAAAACCCACACCAGAGTCCTCCTCACAGAACTGCCCTTGCTCAATTCCTGAAACCCCACTCAAGAAACCCAGCCTTTAGCCCTAAAACTTGCAACTAAAACATCCACGCGACGACGCATTCACAAACCAGAGAAAATTCGAATGCAGTATCGAATCGGACAACCAGGTATTGAACATCCCTCCGTGACGAGCTGCAATACTTGCAGAAGAACAACAGCCCCGCGAACATACAGCCTTCTTCTCAAACGTGACCTCTCGGATTGAATAGCAAAGAAAAGTTGGGGAGAAGAATCTGATGAACAAAAATGCAATCTGCGTGTGAGGGATCTGCAAGTCCCAACTTCATAACTAATTCCGCTTCCAACTCATCGAATGGAATCGCCGTCGTCTGCTTCGCCGCGAGATTTTTGCCCTTTGTTTTTAGCGGCCCTGACGGTAGGAAGACTCGCCGCCACAAGGACTCCGCATTAGAGCCGCTATATGACGCTGTATACTCATAGCGGCCTGGATAGCGGTCGGAGCTCTCTGGATGTGCGAGAGCCGCTATCTAATCCGCTGTGTTTATGTCCAACAAGTTTAAGTTCGGTGCTAATTTAGTGGTGCATTTAAAGGATTCTGTTGCGATTAGATTTTGGCCTTGTAACGTATGTAATTCAAATTCTATTCTCTATTATTTTTTATGCTCATTTATATTTATAGGTGTCTTTCATCATTAGTAAATTATTTTAATAATAAAATTATATTTTTTAGTTAGTAATCACCAAGTTTGATAATAAATCATATGTATTAATAAAATGATCATGACTATCATTTTTGATTAATTTTACTTCTTTCATTCCTATGTTTAATTTCAATACTCATAACAATTACCTTAAGGCATATATTATTTTATGATTGTTTAATGTTAGTTTTTTAATACTTTGATGTTTATATAGTGAAATTAGGCTCAAATACTGTTTTTCCAAATTTACCCAATGAAAGAAAATAAAACATACTTAAATTTTAGAATCTATTGAGAATCACATTTATAGATATAAATATATATATATTCACATATGGTTATAGTATGTACAATAAGAGAATGAATTATATTATAAAGCTATGGAATAATTGTGAGACAAATTAAACATATAAAGACACATAAAATTAAATAAAAGTTGTGGATTAATAATAAGAAAATTTAACTCTAACGTTCAACAAACTTATTGTTTAAGAACCAAAAATATTTTTTGGTATGAAAAATGGACATAAATGATAACAACAATTGTGAAATGCTTAGAGAATTTTAAAACAACTGCCTTTAGAAACCAAAAAATTATGAAACTTGCTTCTTGATTTGTGCAAAAGAATTTATTGAAGTTTTATTTATTTATTATATATTTTTTAAAATAAATAACCTAAGTGTAAGTTATAACTAATTTAAAATCCAATATGATATTTTATACAATACAATGGTTTGGTTTGTAAAACCAAACTGATATCAACAAACTGTAAAATTCGCAGCTGCAAATGTGAAAGTAGCGAAATAGTATATATAATCATGGTAAATGTACAAAGGAGCAAAAACAGTTTTCCAATAACCATTTAAAACCATTTATTAATTTTTGATATGCACATGCCTTAGAATGTAAATTTTTATCGATTTTAGTAAAAATCCTTCATTTTTTATTTCTTGAAGAATAAAATGTTTAAATTCGAAATGCACCTTTTTCCAATGAAATTTAATAAGAATCATTTACCCAGTTCTCTGTGTTACACACCGAAATAAATCTTGTCAGGACTTTTTAAATGTAGTTTTTGCATTTACACCTTAATCATATTTATAGTTAAAAAGTATGGTCCTAAGTAATATATTAATATAATACAACAATAAACAAACCACTTCACATTTGAAATTAATCTCAACATCATATTATAACACTATCTAATAAGTGAATAACTGATGTATTCTTGAATTTCGTAACACCTTGTTTACGCAAAAAGTCATTATTTACAAAAAGATCTAGATCACTTGGACATCAGTCATTCTGAGTGCATGTGAGAGTTTGGAAGCTTCGCTATTTCGTAAAATCAAGTTATACGCTTCCACAAGTGCAGTCACACAATTAAAACATAACAAAAAAAACTAGTACCGTACCGTGCTTTGTTAGACACGTTGTCATCATGTTTTGACTTCCATCATAGGTTGAAGAACTAATGAGGCATTTACAACTTTCACATTTAATCCAATATATTTGGACTATTCATATGTGTACGAAGTGCTGTCTTAAATTCGCTTCATTTTTTAGATTACTGAAACTCTAAAAAGTTGATAACATATTTGTACACTTAAAGACCAGGCCCTATGGAAACCGGCACGACGATTCTTAATCACAGTCCAATCTCTTGGAAACATAAATATCACAAAAGCGTAAAATTAATAAGAACAATTTGGAGTCACAATTCCAGAACCATGAACTACGGCAGTTGGAATGTGGCCCAAGACAATTTGGAGTTTGTACCGCTTCAGAGCAAGGCAGCCAAAGCACCAAAATGATTGTTTGTTGAGGCTTTATCCTAAACATCATAGGAAAGTAGCCTAACAAAAGACGCTGGTTTTAAAAGGGGCGGGTCCGGGGAGAACTCACTTGGCCAAGCCGGAAGATATGGAGCAAGCCCATCAAGAAGGGACCACCGCATTCAATCCAATGTCTAACCAGAGCGCGGTGTCAGAACATGATCTTGCCTACTAGGGGGTGTTTAGAAGAGTCCACCGCAGCCATTGCACGGAAGACACGATTTGCACGCTACATCACCTCCACCCAAGCTAGACTTAAAGAGCAAGGATTGTGTTAACTTCAAATGTGATCAACGATTTACGCTGTAGCTCTTGATGCTGTGTACTCAAAGATCTGCCCATGCAGAAAAGCAAGGCGAAAATCTCAACAATTTTTTTAGTCCGTGCATATAGGTCCAGATAAATCTCTTAGTATCTAAGGTGTCACAGGCGCCAAGGATACAGGTGAAGGAGCAGTAGACAAGTACTGTAACATATACAGATTGGAAGAGCAGAGATCGGAGAGATCCTCATGGACTGCGATGAGATTTTTCTGCAGACCCCTTAGTGCCGGTAACATCTGTGCCTGACGTGCTTCTAGAGTCTTCCCATGTATTACAACAACTTCCTGCACCCCCGAACCCCCAGGTTTTCAATTTCGATTCTAGACTGAACAGAACTCTGAACCTCACAAAGCTGTATTTCTTCATCTTATTTTCAGCAGGTAGTCCTTAAAATAGAGAAGAAAAAAAACTGGGTGAAAATAGGTTAAAACTTAATCAACCTGACACCATATAAGCAAGAACTCCAGGTGAACGGAATTCGATATATATTCACCCAAAGCTGTGCACAGAGTCACCAAGTAGTTGACTGGAATGGAGGAAACAACCGTCGTGATTTCCTCTGGAGGCACAAACTCTATACACTTTCTGATCAGCATTGGCTCATTGAGGCGAAGAGCCAGCACCAGAGCACGGGCATGGAGCTTTTCTTCCAGAGCATCATATATGGTCTGCAATGACACCAAGGTATTATTCGCACGTACTGAGCATAAGCAAACAACACAAAACTTCTATGACGAAATGATCATGTGCATCGATTCAAATATTATGCAAGGAAAATGGTTAATATGCAATGAAACTTTAAGTCAGACTGATGGTGGCACCTACAATAACTGATAAAACTTGCCAAATATTCATCCCAAACTTGGAACACAACGAGGAGACCTAGATAGCACGATGGCCTACCTCAGGTGTAACATCAATGGCAATGTCAACCGGATCGTAGATAAGATTGTCATCTATGGAGTATATTAGCAAGCCTTCAGTAGTAGCAGCTGCAAATGTTCTCCCTGTCGGAGCAAGCTGCAGTGCCTTTGAACGGGCTATGGGCCTTCCATGGTTCGCCTTGGTTCCGGGCAAAGAAGATCCCAACTGTTTGTATGATTGTTTAAAGTTATCATCATCGTCACTATCCCAATCGTCAATCAGATCCAGCGGTCCGTCACTGGTCATTCTCTTGGAATTCAAGTGATCTAAGACTCCATCCAGAGCTTTGTTATTTGTGATCTGTATCCTTCGCAGGAGTACCTGAAAAGAGATTCCGGTCACAAGGTTGGAGATTAAATACACACACAACTATGTACACTAAAAAATTGCCTTCAAGGCAAAGCTTAGGCAAAACATATATTTTCCACAGTAGATACACTTGAGCCATTGTAACCTAGTCACTCAAACAACGTGCAGCTCAAACTGTATAAGCACAAACAAGTCCAAGGACAAAAAGAAGTAGGTGAGAAAGGAAATGCCAACCTGTTCAGCTACATCGTACATGCAGATGTATTTACTAGAACCTCCAGCTAAGATAAAGCTGCCATCGGCAGAAAAACTCAAACTGGTAAACGATTTTCCAGAGCTGGAATTTTCCGCTGTTCTACGGTCACCCATGAGTCGACCACCCTTGATGTCTCTTCTACCATCAATGCTGGCTACTTCAACACCGTCAGTCGGATCCCAGAAGTGAATGTGACCATCAAGTGTACTACAGGCAATTTGTTTACTATCTGGGCGGTAAACAACAGTCAGCACATCATGTGTGTGGGTGAAAGTTTCAACATTACCCTTCCCTTCAAAAACATCCCAAATCTTCACAGTCTTATCCCAAGACGATGATGCTAGCATTTCCTGGCAACAGTAATACAGAGCACATCCACGCTAGCGGTTAATTTCAGCAGATAGCAGGAGATGTTGAAAGGTGGCTACAGGAGTGATCACATACCATTTAAAGCCCCAAACAGTGTTCGGTACACATAGTGAAAAACAAGAGCAAGAAAAAGACTGCTTTACATCATTTTCACACCCCAAAAGGTATCCGGGTAGAAATAAAGAACACAGAGCACTACTAAAACAATTCATTTTGTAACAAATGTAGCGAAAATCAATGATAATTAAACCAGATCTTCAATTGTATAGAGATCAAAACGAACAGCCCAAGCACATCACAACTGATTCAGTTCATGGCATCTGAATCCAAAACCCAAAATCATTTTGTGCACTAAACGAGTACGCTCGTGCAGGATGTGACTTACAGAAGTAGGAGAGAAGGATAAGCCGTGAACAGGACCTTCATGACCGCTCAGCACATCCAACAACCTTCCTGTTTTCACCGACCAAACGTATATCTGAACAAAGATTACTTCAAAATTAGCGCTCGCGCATGCTAAATGCCACTAAAATAAAGTAACAAAAAGAGACTCAAATTGGCTAACCTGGATCTCTATGAATGCACATGATATGAAAGAAAGTCGAACAGACCACACAACTAGACAATCAACCACGAGGTTGTCAGAACAGTCATGATTTCTACATATTGTTAAGTGCCGCCACCGTCATGTTTCAAGAACGAGTAAATGTACAGAATTTCCATCTTGTCACAAAGACATGCAATACCTGAAAACCGTCGAGAGTCCCCGCGCAAAGAACCTCTCCACTCGGATCTGCTGCTAATGAAACAAATTGCGTTGGCGTAGGTGTAGTAAAAGTCCTAAAATTCCGATAGCGCACCATGTCAAACGCTCGAACAGTTCCATCTAATGATGCACTCACCACCACATGATTCGCAGGTAGAAAGAGCACTGCTGTGATGGAATTTGTGTGTTCGGTGAAGGTCACGAAGCAGGATCCCGATGCCACATTCCAAAGCTGAGCACAGAAAAAGAACATGCCATGAAAGTGAGTCGCCTAATTTCAAAAACTCGGCATGATCTAAACTCTATGCATCCTACAAAATGGATGACAAACTAGGATGCTCGAGAGTGTGCACCTAGCTCTAAAAGCAACAAAATTTCCGACTGTTATAAAAGTCTAAGAGGCTGGTGCATTTTCAACGAACCTTAAGCTTGTTATCATCTGCTCCACTGGCCAGATACTGAGAATCGGGAGAGAACGCCAGACAATTCACATCAAAATAATGTCCTTGTTGCTTCAAAACCTGCGTCTCAGTACGCCACTCCCAGACAAGGAGCTGGCCCAAACTTGCACACCCCAATGCAATCCAGTTTCCGGCAGCATTGAACGTTGCAGTAGATATCTTTTTGCTTGAAATGGACAAGAGGTGAAAGCACGTGAAGTCCGGAAGCTGGTATATACCGAAAATTCCAGTCGAGAATCCTACTACGATTATACTGAGACCTTGGTGATAATCACATGTTGTTAACTTTGCAGTTTGCTTAAAGAATCTCTTCTCAGCTATCACCCACTTTCCGGTGGTAAGATTGACACTCGTTTTTAACTTCTTCGTCCCCACCTCATCCTCTACTCCAATATACACTTTCTCATTGGGCAAAAACTTCCACTCAAACAGGGCTCCGTCACGAGCAACAGTATACACTGCGATATCGTCTTCCCTCAGGAGTGGCTTCGAAAAATAAGCTCCCACCAAGACATCCCGGTGGCCACTAAGAGTCACAGCCCGCAGCTCGTCCAACTTATTCACCGAAAAAACTCTGGCCGTCAAGTCCTTAGAGCCAACCACTAACCAGCAGCTATCAGAGCTCCATCCAATACACGTCACTGTGTCATGGCAGCCCGCGAGCGTCTTCACTAGTTCAAACGGAGCAAAAACCTTCCGAAACCCTGGCGTCCGCCATAGTTGTACCAACTTCCCCACCCCTGCCGCAATCAACTTCCCATCGGGACTAAACTTTAATGCACTCACAGGCCCCTTGAATGAAAAATGATGCAACACTTGCTGTGTGTGTAGGTTCACAAGAATACTCCGCCCATCCTCGTCTACACTTAACAACAACGTCCCGTCCGGCGACACTTCTATGCGGCTCACGCTCTTGCCGTTCTCGCATCGCAACGTCGTGGACTCCGACTTCTGTAAATCTGTGACAGACACGCGATTCCCAACCGGCGACAGAAGCAGTACATCCTTCTTAAACGTGATATTACCTCCTCGATACGGCGCTCCCAGCAGATTACTAAACTGGAAATTCATGGCTCTTCCTCAATCAAGACCTAAATCAAGCGGCGCAAATTTCAGTGAGTCGCAGTGTGTCGGCTTGGCTCTGATTCTGCTGCCAATTCCGACTTCCCTTCGACCTTTGATCCGACTCCAACACGCAATTCTGCCCCACAGGGCGTCGGGGTCGCCGGTGAAGTGCAGCAGAGACTGAACGTCTCCAGCAATCAATTTAGGGTTTAGCGAGGGTTTAAACCCTCTGTGGATGGATGTATTATGAATAGATGATATTTCGTGGGATCTCGGGATGGATGAACAAGCGTATTCGTCCATGGACTATATATGCTTTCGTAAAGGGTGGGGGGATGCATGTCATTCTACTCACACTCTTAGATGATAACCATCTCCGCAATCTGAGACTGTAACCCAAAAAGTGGATCAGTATTGAACTTGGGCAATATAGTGTAATCTATTTATAGTCTTCGTTTTGACAACACTTTAGCTAAGTGAATATTTATCGTTAAATATTATAAGGTTTCAAAATATGTCGTAAAAACATGATATAATTCATTACAATGTTTATTTGTTGGTTATTCTAGTTTAGATGAAATAATATTTAGTCATATTTTAGGAACGATGACACACTTTGTCTTAATTGGTGGGTATTTTGATGTTACATATTCAAGTCCATGAAATCCAACACAAAGCATTCTTCAAAAACAATAACTTTCCTAATATATATATATATATATATACATAAGTATAAAAATAGAGAAAAATATGAGTATTTTTTGCCATTCAAAGTAGATTCAGAATAAAGACTTTGAGGAGTAATCATGAAATATTTCTGAAAAGTAATCTGAATTCCATTTCCTAGACATATTGTGCATTTTTATTGAAATTAATTAAAACCATTCATATTTTGAGCTAATTATTATAAAAAAATTTTTTTTTTTTCTAGGTAATTGAAATGTTTTAAGAAATATACAAATTTAAACATAAGAATCATACTGTGTGTGTGTGTGTGTGTGTTTTTTCCCCTTTTTCTTCTTCTTTTTGTTGCCTCTATACTAGATTGTGAGCATGAAATTGTGTTTTTTCTTGTGTTGTTTATATGCACAAGAACCATTTGTAAGTGTATTCCTGGAAAACATTGTGTTTTTAAGGATGTACAGTGCTTTACAGCGTAATATTCTGTGCACATATTAATACATAAAATAATTTTTTTAGAGTTAAGTTGTCAGTCCTATGTTATAGAATTTTACACATGCATGAAAACATTGGTAGAGTAGAATGTGTCAAACAATGGAAATGTTTATTTTAATTTCCAAAACAAATTCATATTGTTTCACACAAACCTAAAAGTTTAATTGTCTTTATTATTATTATCATTACTGTTGCTATAATAAGAGTTAATAACATACTATGTAATCACAAACATAGTTGTACTTAATAAAACTGTTATTGATGCCCCACCTAAAAATGGCATGTTAAAAATGTATTACCGTGAATTCATGAAAATTACAGTCTTTTTTTAACTTATATTTTAGTTATGTTGTAGGTATTTGAACACTTGTATTAAAAAGACATTTTTTTTATTAAATTTTCACAAAAAACTTATGCACAGCTCGATAAACTATAAATGGAACCACTCGATGCTCAATGCACAAGTTAAGAACTAATAGTCAACAAAGCTAACCTAGAAAGTAGGAATAGCAAACATGACATTTATTATTATTGTTATTTCCAAAATTTAAAAACTAATACTAAAACTTCTCAAATCATCTCTAAATGTGCAAGATCCAACGAAGGGTTTAATAAGGGATCTGTAATGGTATATGAATAGAGTTGCTTTGAAGTGTACATACCTTTTATGTTAGGCTTTAGTCACTATGATTTAATGCTTTTAAAAAGTCGATATTAAAATTTCTATATAAATTTTCTAAAAAATAGATTCTACAAAATTACAGAATTTTATAATAGGAACTGAAAGCCAAAATTTTGAAGTTTTCCTTCAAATAAAAATTTAAATTATTTCAAATAAAAATTTCTACAAGAATTGATGATGTTAAAACATGATATCCAACAGTATGAAATATGTATTATTATATTTATTTATTTTATCATTTATTTGGTTGTAGACAAGGGTTAATCTAAAAGAATAAACGAATTCTTAAAACAAACAATAACATACAATGTAAAGATTTGAAAGGGACTTGTATCTATGGTTTTGGAAAGATTCCTTTCTAAGCATCCTCAAACATGACTCTAGGTTCATTTGTAAGTATTGTGTGTTTTTATTTTCATTTTATCAATTATTTCGTGTTATAAGTCAGATAAACATAAATTTAATATTTATATTATAGTGGAATTACTAGTTGCTCTACAACTGATTAAAACCAAAAATATTGAATACATGTATATATATATATATATATATATATACCTTTTGTTTTGTTTTGTTTTGTTTTTTTTTTTTTCAATATATTAGACATGAATTTGTGATTGAATTAAATATGATCTGTGATTAAATTTCATTCTATTTTTTCCGAGGATAGATAACATTTTTGTTTAAACTTGCATATTTGTGTGCTTGAAATTATTGATAAAGCCATATACGTATATATATTATAGACACATGTTAAAAAAAACGTTAAAATATTGATAACCCATTTTACATTTACGGTATGTATTCTTATTAAAAGAAAAAGTGGTTATTTACAATCCAAATAGAAAATGTTGAACACATCTACTTGTAAAGCATGCATACGCAGGTAGAAGTACTAAGATGTTTTTGGAAAATCTCATGGACTGAAACAGCTCATCAAACAAGATAATTTTTTCTCAAATATTTATTTAATTGTACAACATCTGTATTTCGACATAAAAAGATTGGCTAGTTTCATTTGTTCCAAAAACTGCTCCACTTTCAATATTAAGAAGACTCATGTTGATTCTGTATTGGTGTATAAATGCATTAAGCCTTTAGTTGACCAAACTTTGTGGTAGAAAAACAACCCAAAAGTCCAAAATCAAAACAAAATTTCCCATGTAAAATAACATGATATGTGAAAAGAATTGTGAAAATTACCAAATTGTAAATAAAAATAACATGGCTTAAATAACATCTCGTGTGTGTATATATACATATATATATATATATATATATATGATTGTAAATGTTTTAATGTCATGAATTTAATAAAATTTTGAGAGAAAAGAAGAATTAAGAAAATCCAGCAGCAACCATTCCCCACAGTGCCTTCTGGTCCAGTCAGTGCCCAGCCAAGTTGCTGGGCCGAGATGAGGAGAACCCGACCCAACACCGTCGCAACCAACCCCCAGCCGGTCGGGCAACCGGTTCCCGCGCGGGAGGGGAACGAGAGGGGAGCGGAGGGGAACGAGCGTTCCCTCATCCAGGAGGGGGAGGGGAAGGGAGGGCGGTAGCGGGACCAGTGGCTTGTGTGGCTGGCGTGAATGGTTTTTTTTGCTGCTCTACTTGCTCCTGCTGCTGCTTCTGTTGCTCTTGTAGTTGTTGTTGCTGCTTCAGATGCTGCGGTGGTGCTTCGGCGTTGCCTTGGTGGAGCGCCATGGCTGAATAGCTGGTGCTGAAACCCTAGGGTTGCGGGCGATGGAGGTGGACACGATTGCAGTGTTAGTGCAGGGCTGCAAGCTCTGGGGCTGGGATTTCATTGTGAGGTGAGGGTGGTAAGCAGGGTAGGCCAGGCGAGGGCGAGGGCGAGGAGGACGAGGAGGGCGAAGGGGCTTGAGTGAGTGAGGGTGTGGTAGAGCAGGGAAGGGGAAAAAGAGGGAGAGCGATGGAGCGGGGTGAGGAGGTGGAATACGGAGGCACGATGGAGATGGGGGATTTCTTGTCGGAGAACGACGACGGGGAGGGTCTCATGATGCAAGACGGAGAAGAGATGAGCGACGAGGAGATGGACGTGGATGAGTTGGAGAAGCGGATGTGGCGCGACAAGATGCGTTTGAAGCGGATTAAGGAGCTGCAGAAGGATAGGGAGATGCGGAGCGGGACGGGGGTTGATGGGAAGAGTGGAGGCGGTGGTGTCGGCGAGAGAGGGGTGGCGTCGGCGAAACAGCATAAGCAGAGCCAGGAGCAAGCGCGGCGGAAGAAAATGAGTCGCGCGCAGGATGGAATTCTCAAGTATATGTTGAAGATGATGGAGGTTTGTCAGGCGCAGGGATTTGTGTATGGTATTATCCCGGAGAAGGGGAAGCCTGTGAGTGGGGCATCGGATAATATTCGTGCTTGGTGGAAGGAGAAAGTGAGGTTTGATCGGAACGGGCCCGCGGCAATCGTCAAGTACCAGGCGGATCATGCTCTGCCGGGCAAGCCTAAAGGTAACGTCAGCACGGGTCCTACTCCTCACACTTTGCAAGAACTTCAGGACACCACTCTAGGCTCGTTGCTGAGCGCCCTGATGCAACATTGTGACCCTCCCCAGCGGAGGTACCCGTTGGAAAAAGGAGTGCCACCTCCGTGGTGGCCATCCGGGGACGAGGAATGGTGGCCTCAGCTAGGATTGCCGAAGGGGCAAGGAGCGCCACCATACAAGAAGCCTCATGATCTGAAGAAGGCATGGAAGGTGGGCGTTCTTACCGCTGTCATCAAACACATGTCGCCGGATATTGCGAAGATTCGCAAGCTTGTGAGGCAGTCTAAGTGTTTACAGGATAAGATGACAGCAAAGGAAAGTGCCACATGGCTCTCAGTGTTAAATCAGGAGGAAGGGCTCGCCCGGCAGCAGAGCGGTGCTGGAGGCAGCGCGGGCACTCCAGGCGGGCAAAATGGTTCTGGTCTTGCTGGGAACAGCTCGAATGAGTTCGACGTTGATGGAGTCGATGACTCTCCCCCTGGACCTTCTGGCAGTGATGAAGGTCAGGATGTGGACACTGATGATTACGAACCCTGTGCAGGCAGCCGACCTGCCCACTCTGCGGCTAAAGGTGGCGCAGACAGGGATACCGATTCTTTGGACTCAACGTTCGATAAGTCTTCTCTTAGACCGCAAGATGGAGACCTGGTGGATGGTTCGAGAAAGAAAAGGTCGTCTGGGGAAGTGCAGAGTATGGAGCAACGGGTTTACATGTGCCCCTATCCGAATTGCAAGCGTAATGAATGGCGCAGTGCATTTGTGGATCGGGAACTACGGAACATGCACCAGGCTTCGTGCGTATTTAGACCAGTGGCCTCGGTCTCTGTAAACAATATCATGTACTCCGGGAACACGCAGCCACAGGGTCTGAGCGGAAAAGGCCTTTTTCAAATTGGAGGGATGGTTGGTAATCCTGGCGGCGTGATTCAAGGGGCAGCAGGCTACGCACCTCTCCCACTTCCTGTTCCAATTCAAAACATGTCATCGGTGCCGAATATGCAAGGTGGTAATGGTGATCAGCAACCGCTTCATGACTTGCTTGCGGGACTCTACGGGGCTAACGGAATGCATCCAGTAGAGGGTTCCATGGGAGTAGCGCGATCCAGTGGTCTCGACGGATCAGAGCTCTGCAATGGCCTTCTAGCAATTGATAACGGAATGGCAAATCAATCGCAGCGACAGATGGACTCATCAGATCTCGTGGCGGACGAGACCATGTTTGGGCAGGGTTTCGGCGAGGGCTCAAATGTAACGGACGTTAGTATGGAAAACCATGGCAGTTTACCCAAGGATGGTAAGGTTTTTGAGCACTCGTTCGACCCTCATTCAGGCGTCGAGCCGCCGTTGGACTACAACTTTAGCTCCACTTTTGATATAGGAATTGAGTCCCATGTGCCATTGGGGCCTTCCGCAATAGATCATTTACTTGGTGAGGACCCCATATGGTACTTCGGTGCATAGAAGTCTATCAACCGAAATCACATGTTTGTGATCTTCGCTATGGAAGCTGGAGTGAGGGATTAGATTGAGATTTAGATAGAATTTAGCTGGTGCTGTCTGAAGGCAGTACGACATAATGTATATCGTAGCAGGGCCTCTGAGTTGGAGCTGGGAGTCTTCTCGCGCCTGGTGGAGCTGCCTGTTTTGCGGGGATGAAGTATACTGGCTGTTGGGAAGGTTGGTGGGATAGTGGAAGGGAAGAGAGATGCAAGGGTGGTCTTGAAGGTTGGGGGATGCAATGGATGCCAGGATGGATGAAGACCATTATCTTGAGATGTGCTGGTCAAGGAGGCTCAGAGGAACATGTGTTTCTGTATGATAGAGCAAGTGCTCTCATTCTTGTACTATATCACCATTGGTATCTACATTGGAGTGAAAGGGAGCTCAGTCCTAATGCTGGAAAACGACTTGTTCTCCGATGTGGCTGCTGCATCCTGCAACCTTTGGCAGCCTTACGTGGGATGTAACATAATCTCCTATTTAATGCAAACGTGGGTGCTTCTTCAATTTCATATACTCCAGGGATCCAAGTAGTGCTAAACTTTTCATCTCGAATACATGTGTTTTGTTTTGTTTTGTGATGTTTTGTTTTTTTGATTTTTTTTAATCGTTTTTCTCTGTCTCTATCCCTGAGGTGATTTTTTCTGGGTGTTTGATCATGTCACTGCAGGGTTTCCTGTATATTTTATTTTAATCTAAGGGAGGTGATGTACACCGTTTCCGTGTTTTTTTCTCACGCCTTTGAATGTTGGCACCCACTGGTCTTTTGGTAAATCCAAAGGTCAGTGTCAAGACTCAAACCCCTATGGCAAAAATCCCAACTTTCTTTGATTTAAAAATGTGCCGAATGATGAAGAAGTACGTACGGTACGCCCCGAGCACAAGGACCCAAGTACAAGAAAATCCTGAATGGTAATCCAGTTGTAATACATTTTTTTCCCCCCATTAACCTTTCCCACAAATGTTCTCTGCATACCCACAAACCTTTCAAAACTAACCAATGCAGTATTTTTATTATATAAAAATACAGAGGCATAGTGAAACTATGTGCTAGAACTATCTTCTAGGGTTCGCAGTGGGACTTCGCATTCAGGCAAATCACAGAGTCCTCATGCAGGTTTCGTCCCCCACTTGGACCATTCGTCCCTCAGCCCAGTTCAGCCGCAGGACGACATTCCACCGAGAATTGCGAAAGGTAGTGGGTGAATGACGCCCTCAACTGCCACCGAGGGTAAAGTGCTGCAGGAACCACGGCAAGCATCAATTCCTTTACGTCCCTTTTAGTAAGCTACCCAACTAGCGTTTGTTTTAAGGAGCATTGTTGCGGATCATCGTGATGACCGTAACGCCAGGCTGTCCCCCCCATTATAAATAATCCATGTCAGCATCGTGAAGAGCTGGCTCTTTAGATCTAAGACAGTGCAAGGAGGTGGCAGCACAAGGTGAAGCAGAAGTGGAAATCCATTCTCCTACTGTGAGTAGTTTGCGTCCATTCTGCTGACGAATTTCGCTTGTAGCTTCATGTAGTACTTCAGGTGGTGAAGATCCAAATGCGATGCGTCGATCTGGATGCAACAGGAACTAATTAGGCCCCTTTAATTTCCTTGCCTTGCCTTGCTTTGCCTTTGCTTAGCCTGGAGGTCAACGGAGATATTTAGGTCTGTGATACTGGAGCAAGGGGTGTGTGTTTTTTTTTTGTTTTTCTATGGATGCCGATGTGATCTGTTTGCACACTGAACGGTTCCGATCTGGAGGTGGGATTGTCATGAGAGCATGCAGCCACTGGTTTTACGTGCTTTTTTCCTCTCCTTTCGGTTCTACAGCTTTTATTTGTATTTCATTTAATGCTTGTTTTATATTAAGATGGATTCTTCGCATGGTGGAAATGTTTGGATTGGTTCCCATCTTAGATTCGTTTTCAGTTGCTGGATTGCCTCGACAAAAACTGGGATCCCTGTTGGATGTTTCTATTAATTCTTGTGGACTCTCGGTTGTTATGTTGGTGGAGTAGTGGGTTTTCGACTGTCAGTTTGTGATTGGTTATATATATGTTTTGTGTGTTTGTTTTTATATACTCTTTTTGTATTATTATCCATATCCTTGAGGTATTGATTCAAAAGTAGTGATGGATGTGTCAGACATATGACAAGTTGAGGTGGTTCTTCTTTTTTCCTTTTCTTTGGAACAGAAAAATAAACTTAAGTTTATAGCATTTTTATTTTCTGGTCAATTAAAAAAATTTCTTGCTGATTTGTTTGTTTTTTAAAATTTTAATCCTACAAAGTTCGAATCATTAATAATAATTATTATTAATCTTACTCCTTTCGTTGTTTATGTCAATAAAAATTCGTGCCCTCTTAATACTTTTAATTTTTTAAATTTGAATATGATTATGTTTCTTTTTATTCTTGGTTGTGTATATATTTTTTAATTTGATGTTTTGTTGTGTGTCTTCACCTATTTTGGCAAATTTATTTTTGGATGTATATCATACTCAAACATTTTTTATTTTTATTTTATTTTGCACACATGTTTAAATATTTTAGAAGGTTGTTGAAGGTTCTTAAAATGTTCCAATAGATTTTAAAAAATTCTAGGATGATTAAAAAAGTTGTATGGAAAGCTTCCTAAAATTGCTTCATCTTCAAGCAATATGAAAACTTCTCAAGAAGCTTTTTAATACCTAGTATATATTAAAGCCAGGGTTGAGGGGATCTTTAGTGTTGTCAATATATTTCTTGGAGTTTTAGTTCACCTCTCTTGGTGTTGATTTTGTAGTCATTTGGTTTAATCAAGTTCTTGCTAGCTTTCTTCTTAAAACTCTTTTGTTCAACTTCTTGTTTGGTCTCTTGTATGGTATATTTGTCACATGGAGAATAGCTAGGAACATGAATGGAGGCTATAAGGGTGCAATGTTGGTTAAGAAAGAGTAGATCACTTTAGTAAAAAATTGAGTCATCTTATCATTTCCTTATGTATATATATTTGATAAAAACCTTGTAACTTTAGTTTTTTATTTTACTCAAGTGAAATATCTAAAGTATTTAACCAATTAGTTTACTTCCAAGGAGAGTATAATTTTGATAAGAACTTAACTAATTGAAGATGGTGGTTGGTTACAACAATCAAAAAACTACAATTATCCTTCATTATCATTTTCAGATCCATTATTGCAAATACCTTATAAATTACTCCAAACATTGTTGTCTAATATGTGTTTTATTTGTATTGTTGTATTTGAAGAGTGTCATTCTTCTTTATACATATTAGATAAACATCAAATACACTCACACATACATTTATATCCACAATTGATGCTCTTTTATATGGAATTCTATTGGCATGGAAAATACATGGTAACTTCTAATTATATAATAATAGTAATAGTCATATTTTAATCAATTTCACTAATTATCCCTAATTAAGCTTGGCTATCTTAGTTGTCCTCCAAATGTAAAATCATAGATGAAGGAAAAAGAGTACAACATCATTTTCTTTAATTATTTAAAGATCTCATTAACTTTCATATTCAAGAAAAGCAAGTCATCGCATAATAATGCCATAAGTAAGTCGACGATGGTTGCTTAATGGGAGAGCTTTGGTGAAAAGATCAGCAAGGTTATTTGTAGATTCAATTTTCTTAATTATAAGTGCTTGATCAGTAATCAAGTCATGAGTATAACTAAAATACTTTGGATCAATATGCTTTGTCCTGTCGCCTTTAATAAAACCAACTTATATCTGTATAATATAAGCACTATTATCTTCATGCAAAATAGTTGGAGAATCATCATATGAAAATCCATAGGTTGTTTGAATGAATTTATCAATTGATCGCAATCAAATACATTCTCGAGATGCTTTATGTAAGGCAATAATTTTTGCATGGTTGGATGAAGTTGCATTTATTGTTTGTTTCACTGATTTCTATGATATTGGAGCTCTATGTCTTAAAAATACATATCCTGTTTGAGATTTAGCTGTTGCAATATCAGATTTATATCTTGCATCATAATATCCAACCAATTTTGGATCCGTCGATTTTGTGTAGTATAATCTCAAGTCTTTAGTACCTTTTAAATAACGTAATAAATATTTGATGCCATTCCAATGTCGTAGTGTTGGACGTACACTATGTCTTGCAAGAACACTAACTGCAAATGCAATATCTGGTCTTGTAGATGTAGCTAAATACAAAAGTGTTCCAACTGTTGCGAGGTATGGATATTGGTCTCCCAATATTTCTTCTTCCTCCTCGCATGGACGGTATGGATCATGACCATCACGACCACGTCCAACCATTGGTGTGGACAATAGATAAGCATCAATTATATTAAATCTTTGTAAGATTCGTCTAATATACGTTAGTTAGTAGAGAAAAATGCTACCATCTCTTAGATGCATAATCTAAAGACCAATGCAGAAAGTTGTTTTTTCTAGCATTTTTATCTCAAATTCACGCATAAGTAGGTTTGTAGTTGTAACACATGCAGATGTAGTGCCTACTAGGTTAAGATCATGAACATATACTGCGATGATTACAAAACCAATTTTATCTCGTTTGATAAACAAACAAGGGATTAGTGGATCACTTATAAAATTATTTGTAATTAAATAATCTTGAAGATGTTGATACCACATTCATCCGGATTGTTTTAAACCATACAAGGCCTTACATAATTTAATACCACAATATTTTCTTGGAGCGGGTTGATTTGGAGTTCCTATTTCTAAGCCAAGTGGAACTTTCATATAAATATTTGTATCAAAAGAACCATATAGATATGCAGTTACTACATCCATCAGATGCATCTCAAGGGTAGCATGAACTGTCATTCCAATAATATATCGAAATATAATTGAATCCATGACTAGAGAATATGTGGATTCATAATCAATGCCAAATCGTTGAATAAATCTTTGAGCAACAAGACAAGCTTTATAGCAGATTATTTGGCCTTGAGCATCTTGCTTACGTATTAATATCATTTTATATCCTTTAGGGCGAGATGTAAGAGTGTCTACAATTAGACCAAAGACTTTCTTCTTACGAAAAGAGGCATACTCCTCCTCAATAGCAGTTTTTCATTTTGACCAATCTGAGCGACACATCGCCTCTTCGATGGTTTGAGATTCAGGATCGTCTTCCTTGCAGGAAAGGGCTTCTATAATCATATATGTAAATGATTCATCTACCGTAATAGATGGTCTATTCCAGATATCATTTGTAGCACAATACATAATAGATAATTCTTTACTCAACTTGTTCTTATTCCTTCCAATTCCAAGATTGTTTTTCATAGGAATTGAAGGTACATTATGCATGGATATATCATCATGAATTAGTAGTCCTGCAAGATGATTGGCAATTTCTTGAAAAATAATACCAAGATTAGTTAATTTTATAGCTTTCTTCTTATGTGGTTGTTTATGTGGTCCACGAGTTCTTTTAGTAGTTGTTTTTATAACTTGAGGTATTGTAGTCAATGGCACTACAATCTGAGCAGGTGCATTTT